GTGTTCTCCTACATGCCACGATTATCATCTCATTATCCACTATTTGTAGACACTAAATGGACCCTGTAATGACTCAGTGGCATTAATCTAGCTATTATGGTCTGTGTGGCTTGACAGCAGCTGCCGGTGTTCCACAATCCTGCCGGTATTTCCAAGCAAGTCATATATAATGTTTAAAGCAGCGTGATGTATGTTTCATATGAGCTGCCTTTTATTTTGGCTTTGAACCGTCATGATGGCCAGGGTTATGTAATGACCCCCTGTTTGTGAACGCTGCTCGTGTGTGTGTGTGTATATGTGTGTGTATAAGAGAGAGAGAGAGATGTTACACCAGCTAGACAGGTGTGTGGGGACCCTCAGTGTGGCGGGTGGCAGTATTTCATGCTCACGCGTGGTCAGAGCACCTGTCCCCTGAGAGCTCTGTGTCAGCAGAGCCACTGCAGGCTCTGACAGAGCGGCCTGTCAAGAAGAAGCATTACATCGAGAACACCCCTTCCCTGTCCAAGGCCAGCCCCGTCAGATCAAGTGACACGCTCAAACGCTCTCGTTTTTACCTTCTGAAGGGGACGACGGGCCGAGACGTCAGGAAGTCTGAGGCTTTCCCCGTGGTTGGCACCCTGCGGTGGTGTGAGTAGTTCTTCAGAGAAACGTCTTGAGAGCTTGTCCCTCGGCCTTCTCTCAGAACTCTAAAAACAAACGCAGCATCTTTTAGTTTCCGGTCTTCCCGTTTAGCCCAAACATAGCGTAGGCATGAAGTCCGAACCGACCCCTTTCCCGACCCTCAGACCCAATCCGACCGTGCCCCCACTGGTACTGCTAAATTTGAACGCGGTGACGAGCGGATTACTGCAAACACAGAAAATGTGGTGCTGGGATAAAATGATATCTTGCACATCTGTAATGCACTAACAGTGTTTATTATCAGTATATTTTTGTGGAATTACATCGTGGCAGAGAACAGCATCCACCCTCCTCTGATCAGCCGTTGCAGAAATGCTTAACACACTTAGTTGTGAGTTTAATGAGCAAGAGGAAAGATCCACCAGTCCAACACACCCCTCATCATCCATGGTGTGATTGCGCCTGTACTGTAACTACACCCCCGGTTTCATTCATGGATGCGCTCACCCACTCATCAAACTCCAGCTGTTTCTGAATGCCAGACTATAACATCAAACAGAGAGAATGATAAAGAGTTCATGAGGAACAATGCACAAAGCTACATAGACACATTCCTTTAAACTAAAACGAATCTACTACATAAAATTTACTTATTAGAAAACAAACCAGAGCCCAACCGAAGGCCGGTGTTGTACATGAAAAATGTCTGGTGTCTGAAGTTTGCTTCTTTAGCTTTTGAGATGGTGGCTAACATAGTTAGCGAGTAACAGAAGATAATAGTTTATAAGGTAGCACTGCGCAAACTGCATGTAGAGGTTCAGTAATTTCTAATATACTTGCTGACAGTGTATGATATATTGATATCTATAGTGTTGCACCGATACCGATACTGCATTTAAGTGCCAGTATCGGTGCTGATACCGATACAGTACCGATACGTATGACCGATACAACGAAGCAATTTCTGACGTGCGCTATTAGACAGAACCGAACACGTCGGCGGTTTGGGACGATAAGCAGCCGTAAAAAGCTCATGGCAGAATCTGTAACGGCGGTTTTTGGTGTGAAAAACACGCTAACGGAGCCTCTTACCTGAACAGCTGAGCTGCTTCTCTCAGTAATCACTCGACTGCCGCTGTCTGGTCACTTACAGTCTGAGTTAATGTTATTTTGAGAGCGGAAGGAACCGCTGGACTCTCGCCATAATGATAGCATTTAGCCTCAATTTAGCCTTTAGCATAGCAGCCCACTAGCCAGGCCTGTGCGTCCACTAGCCCCGCCTGCGGTGTGCCTCCGTCGGTTTAATGTATCACTCGGCAGCGGGGTCTCGCGGCCCGTCGCTTCAACCAAGAAAAAACACTGAAAGTAACTGATACTAACAGCGAGAACGACGGTGATATTCACTGAACCGACGCTCAGAGATGCAGCACGTCTGAACAAGACGCTCATATGAGACAAATAACTCGAGAAACTTGGATGTGAAACAACATTCAGCTCCGTTTTTGAGCCTGAGAAGCTGCTGTGTGCTGATATGTAAACACCACAGGTTTATCTGTTTACTGTTCAGTTCTGTTTTTAACTGTTTTACACAGTAAAGATATTTTACCTTTACTTAAGTTGAACATAGTTCTTATTAATAATAATATAATATAATATAATGTAAATACTAAATATATATAAATACAGTAAATAGACAAAAATAAGTTTTGTTAAGTATCTAATAAATATAATCCAACAAGTAAACACCATCTAGCCAATCTGAGTGTGTTTTATTTGTGATGCAGAACATAGATTTTACCAAAATAAAATATGTAATTGTATAAATATCAGGACGTGAGTTAAGTCAGATAGTTAGTATCGGTACTTGATATCGGCTGATACTAAAGGATCAGGTACCGGTATCTAAAGGGAAAACATGGTATGGGTGCATCTCTAGATATCTGTAAACAAATACTAATGTATAAACAATATTCAGTCCTGAAGTTTGCTGCTACTACTGTACTGTACTGTACTCTACTCACTGTAATGTACTTTTTATTCACTGACGGACGGATTTTTGGCTGAATTATTACTTTAACATGTTTTGTTCAGGGCGTAGTACAGAAATATTCATTGGATGGTGAGTGATCAGTTTTCATTCTCTCCCTGTTATCCAGGGATATGTTAACACTGAGACGTGCCTCGTTAGTGTATACGTCTTATATTTATAGAAGGAAAGTGATGGAGAGGAGGGGGACGAGTGAAGACAAATGAGCAGTTGAAAAATGACACGTTGTTCTGCCTGGTCGAGCGCTAAACCTCGCATCGCTGTGGTCCCAACGAGGGGAGTCTGACACGTCTGCATTAGTGGCTTCACCTCTCATTTTACAGTGTTATAAATGGCCTCAGTGTGCTGATAATGTACTGATAATATCGCAGCGCTGGGACATTATTCATGTTATCACAGCCTTTCACTCCTGATTGATCTTTGGGCTGGATTTACGAAAGATTTCCGAGGAAATTCATAAGAATGGACCTCATTCACTGACCGGTCTTGAGAAGACATTTCTTCTTAAAACCCAATTATGCAGTTTTCACAAATATTTGGGATTTGTTCAGTCCACTAACTGGCCACTTTATTAGAAACACTTGCTTTGTGCTTCCACTCACTGGCCACTTTATTAGAAACACCCACCTTGTGCTTCTATTTATTGGCCACTTTATTAGAAACACCTACCCTGTGCTTCCACTCACTGGCCACTTTATTAGAAACACCTACCTTGGACTTCCACTCACTGGCCACTTTATTAGAAATATCTATATACAGACGTATAGACACACTCATATGTCCACTATATAGGGGTATAATCACTGACTGTTACACATCTCTACCCCCCCACCCCATTCATCACTGGTCAGTTTCTGACCACAGCACCACTGACCAGTAATCATTTGGCTAGCGGAGCATTCTCAGCACAGTAGTGACGGTGTGTGTAGTGCTGGTACGAGTGTATCAGGTACACGTCAGTGTGACAGTGAAACTGACCATTTAAGAACTAGAAGATGGAACTGCATGGACGTGTGTGTGTATAAACAGTGCTGATGTTGACGGACGCTGCAGTGATTCTTCACCTCATCCGCCGCTTTTCTGAGAACGTTCGTGAGTGAAGCTCCTTATAGCCGCGAAGCTGGTAGCAATGCAAACGGGTTCTGAAATAACAGCAGCAGAAACAAAGTGTTTTCTCAGAAACACCTGTCAGTGTCTTTGACGTGTGTGTGTGCAGTAAAGGTTAAGTTTAGGCACCGAAGGCCCCGAGGAGGTGATCTGTGACCTCAGGCATGAGTAAACTCCATGAATCAGTGCTAACAATGACAGAGCCACATTGCCCACATAGCGGGTTAGATTTATCACCCCCGACAGGCACAGGAAGGGAGAGTGTGGAGGTTATGTCACACGGAGGGTCACAGGGGTCGAGAGGCGGAAGCACACAGAGGTCCCTGAGCACCGTGAACTTGGCATGTACACTGTACTTCACCTTTAACCTTTAGCAGTCGAGAGTTATTGTTGTGGTTTTATTTTTACACCATTTCAGTGTAACAGCATTCATGTAATTACACAGCTACATTTACACTCATTATCGACAGGCTCTGCACTTCTGATCATTTCCTGTTTGGGTGAAGGATAGTTTAGCAAAACAAGACTGACCACTAGGGCCGTATCTGATCAACTGATTAACCGTTAACCATTTTGTCATTCAAATTTCTGAATTGTGTGCAGGAAAGCAGGGTCACTAAATAATCCTACTAAAAAATAAAGCACAAAGCTAAAAATAATGGTGTTTGGCATCTCTTTACAAGAAGACGACAGCATAATTACATCGATACACCATATCGAAGGCAAACATCCACAGTTAACCCCTTAAAATCCCAGCCTTTTTACATACTAAGGCTTATTATTCAGTAAGTACAGGGAATTCAATGCAAACTGGTTTAGCTATTCTTATGTTATACACTGTTAGAAATAAAGGTTCTGTTCAGGTACATTTTTGGTTCCTCAAGGTACAAAAAATATAAATGTTCCCTCAAAGGTACAACAGTGGTTTTAAGGTCTGATTGTGACCCTTAAATAAGTTTTTCCAGGTGAAAAGTTCGTATTTGTACCTTTTCATAACTGAATGTTTTAAAACAGAACAGTAAAATAAAAGCCTGGAGACGAGACGGGGTGTGTGGAGTCAGTACAGCTTAGAACATATCATTTCAGTGGATTATGGTTCAGTTATGTTCCCTGACTAAAGGTACTGAGATGGACCCTTGAGGGAACCACCCCAGTGACAAGAGGGGAACTCAACACAATCAACACATTTGTTCACTGTTTTCTCTCTGATTTCTCTCCTCAACAGGAAGAAAAGCCTCAAAGGCTGCAATCGCTACTGGTAAATATCACACATGGACACAAGTCGCACACTGCAGAACAAAAGTGTGGAAGCTAGCGGTGATTTTTTTTAAGTGTGAAAAACATTTTAAGTCAGAAACCAACAATGGAGAACAGGGGTGGTGTGGAGATGCATGAGGAAGTGGATTAAGGTTCTGTTATTATTAAGTGGGTTGACATTTTAACTGTAGAAACCTAGAAATCTTTTTTAACCAAGCGGTTTGATTGATTACGCCTGGTCTTTGGACTAAACTGCAGTCCCTATGTGAACCACCATTGGAAATTCTTTGTAGTCTAGACTTAGGCTTAATTTGGGTTTGAGAACCTGGCCCCTGATGTAAGGCCCAATCCCATTTCTTATTTTTACCCCTACCCCTTGTTTTCGAGCGTCATCTTGCCCCTTGGAACTGAGTTACAAGGGGTAGTGGTTGAAATCGTCCCTCTGAAGTGGGACCCTCAAATAAAAAGAGCATTACTTCATTAACAGCTACCAGCGCTGCTCTGTAGGCGACCCTGCCAGTCTGCAGTGACAGCAGAGGAGGGTAAAGTTCAGCTCCTCACTGCTGGGCTTTAGTTACATTTAGGGAATCATATGGCTTCAAAGAGGGGGGCAATTATTTATTATCGCCCACCCCTAATTCTTCAGTGATATGAAGCTGAAGTCAGATATTCACCAGCTTCTTGTTCGAATTTTTTCTGTTCCACCTTAAATGGAGCAGCAGTTACATTCTGGCACTTCAGGCGTCAGAACTGCTGGACTATTTAAGGTGGAACTGGAAAGTTAGCTAGTTAGCTACCGAGACATTAGCATAGTACTAATGATTTTTTATGCTTATTATGAAGAAAAGGACAAAAATACACTGAAACAACATTAAACTAAGATAATACAACAGTTATAGCAACTTTTTAACTGAGAAAATCCTCACATTTGTGGGTTTCTTTGGTCGCTTATGCTCCATCTTGCCGGTTTTTCCTTTTTTCTCATAACACTCAGTTTGGAGTCTCTGAAAAACCTCATTTCGGAGGGCCATGTAGCCCTAACACTCCGCCCTACCCCTCTATCTCAACAAAAATCGGAGGGTTAAGGGCTGAGTGGTAGGGCCGAGGGCTGAAATGGGATTGGGCCTAACTCTCCTGAACCTACTGGAGCATCTGAATGTAGGATTCATGTGGATCTGATTAGAGCTGCAGTAAAACTCTGCAGGACTCCCTTCAACAAATCATATTTCCATGTTGCTTCCAAACCTCTGGCCTATTGTGTAAACCTAAGTATGTAATAGCATGTCCACATGAAAGAGCCTCAAGCGCATTACATAGGTTAAGTCTTAGCGTGGAGCTATTTTCTGACGGGGCAGTAGACTTTGCACATGGACACCCGACACTCTCGGGTGTAAAAGGACCACGCACCATTTAAAGATAACCGCCTGCCCTCCTGCCTGCGTGATAATTACGATCGCCACTTTCTGAAGGTGAGCTCTACAGCTGCCTTGCCTCCTTACTCACTCTCTCAGCAGTGCAAATGACTTTTACACGCTGTTTCTGCGAGGCTAATCAGGGGATTAACCTCCCTGTGGAGTCACAGGACTTTGGGCTTCATTTGGACAGGTGGACTCATTTACACTGGATTATCTGATCGCAGTATAGAATGTAACGACTCTCTTCCTCTCTCTTCTCTCTCTCTCTCTCTGTTTCTCTTCGTCTCCATCACAGAGGAGCTGCCTCCATATGAGCCCGACATTCCTGAGCCCACCACCAGGGCAGAGCTGATGAAATGTATGTCAGGGTTTTTGGCTCTTTGTCACTGGGGGGGGAAAGAGGTGGTCCGGCTTTTGAAGTGGAGTCCTCTCGTAGCCTTTTTGTTCATGTGAAAGAACCACATGATGTGACCTTGCCTTCGCCTGCTTTATCAGAAATGAAGTGGGCAGTCTGGACGTTAAATGTCCTTCAACTGCAAACTAATTCAGTTATTAATTTTAAGGCTCAGTATCTATACTTAATTATTCAGTAACTAATATAGGAAATGTATAGTAACTAATGAGGAAATGAATTGAGGACCCTCATCGGACCCTTGCTGTTAAAGCAGTACAATATCCTTATATGGAGAGACGTTGTGTCTTTGGTTTAGGTCTTCTCTCTCTCTCTTTCTCTTAGACTGGATGTCTCTCTCCCTGGATGACAGGACTGCTCAGAAGCTGCTGTGGCTCTCTGAGGGGGGTGCCAAAGTGTCCCGCATGTCAGAGGAGGTGTGTCCTGTCCTGGACAGACCTGAAAGATATGAACACTCCCCACAGGTGTGTTTTTGCCCATTAAAATACTGGTTCGGCTTCTTTCACAAATAATATTTTTTTCTGGTTAAGTATAGGATTTCACATTCCACACTACAATATACACAGTATTCACTTAAACCCTTCCTTCCACCTACTGGCCACTTTATTAGAAACACCTACCTTTTGTTTCCACTCACTGGCCACTTTATTAGAAACACTTACTTTTTGTCTCCACCAACTGACCATTTTATTAGAAACACCTACCTTGTGCTTCCACTAACTGGCCACTTTATTAGAAACACCTACCTTGTGCTTCCACTCACTGGCCGCATTATTAGAAACACCTACCTTGTGCTTCCACTAACTGGCCACTTTATTAGAAACACCTACCTTATGCTTCCACTAACTGGCCACTTTATTAGAAACACCTACCTTGTGCTTCCACTCACTGGCCGCATTATTAGAAACACCTACCTTGTGCTTCCATTCATTGGCCACTTTATTAGAAACACCTACCTTGTGCTTCCACTAACTGGCCACTTTATTAGAAACACCAACCTTGTGCTTCCACTCACTGGCCGCATTATTAGAAACACCTACCTTGTGCTTCCACTCACTGGCCGCATTATTAGAAACACCTACCTTGGACTTCCACTCACTGGCCGCATTATTAGAAACACCTACCTTCTACTTCCACTCACTGGCCACTTTATTAGAAACACCTACCTTGTGCTTCCACTAACTGGCCACTTTATTAGAAACACCAACCTTGTGCTTCCACTCACTGGCCGCATTATTAGAAACACCTACCTTGTGCTTCCACTCACTGGCCGCATTATTAGAAACACCTACCTTCTACTTCCACTCACTGGCCACTTTATTAGAAACATCTACCTTTTGCTTCCGCTCACTGGCCACTTTATCAGAAACAAGTACTTTTTGCTTCCACTCTCTGGCCACTTTATTAGAAACACCTACCTTGGACTTCCACTCACTGGCCGCATTATTAGAAACACCTACCTTCTACTTCCACTCACTGGCCACTTTATTAGAAACACCTACCTTGTGCTTCCACTAACTGGCCACTTTATTAGAAACACCAACCTTGTGCTTCCACTCACTGGCCGCATTATTAGAAACACCTACCTTGTGCTTCCACTCACTGGCCGCATTATTAGAAACACCTACCTTCTACTTCCACTCACTGGCCACTTTATTAGAAACATCTACCTTTTGCTTCCGCTCACTGGCCACTTTATCAGAAACAAGTACTTTTTGCTTCCACTCTCTGGCCACTTTATTAGAAACACCTACATTGTGCTTCCACTCACTGGCCACTGGCCAAGAGCAGCTCAACGGTCAGAACTGGCCACTGTTGGAGAGCTAGAGTGTGGCTAATGCAAACTGTACTTCGACAGATGGGCTACAGTCTCTAACCGTGCACTAGCAGGATAGAATGTGTAGAATGTATAAAAAGCCTAAAATACTGGAACATTTCTAGTCCCTCAGGAACCACTGACTGAATACATCATTTTCCTCTCTGCTCTCCTGCAGGTTCTGTGTAAGGAGGGTCTGCTGGGCTGCCGTGGGTACTGGGAGGTGGACTATGAGGGCTGGGTGGTGATTGGGGTGGTGAGCGAGAGCGCAGGGAGAAAGGCTAAGGACGGCCCCTGCGGCCTGGGAGAGAACGACATGTCGTGGGGAGTCGGCTGGGCAGGCTCCTGCTACCACGTCTGGCATGATGGGGAGAACGTGGAGATCCAGGGAAGCTTATCCAACACCATCGGCATCTACCTGGACCAGCCTGCCGGCATACTGTGCTTCTATATGGTGGAGAAAACGGAGGGAGGGGCCAAAGAGGTCCGGCTGCTGCACCAGTTCAAAACCACCTTCAAGGAAATGGTGTTCCCAGGCTTCTGGGTCGGCCGCAAGTCCTACTGCGTGATCATGAAGAAGGATCAGTAAGAGAATAAGGAGGGAGGAGGAATGGAAGAGGGTGGGTGTGAAGAGAGTGGAGAGAGAGGAATGATGGGTGGGAAAGCGGGGTGGGGAGGGGGTCCGGGTCATTCATTTGACTCACCTTAAGGTGTTGAAAGCAATAGAATGGGGAAAATAATCAAACTTAGACAGGTTTGGGGTCTGAAATTTGCTTCTTTAGTTTTACACTGGAGCTCTGAGGCTAATGTAGCTAACAATTAATGAAAGTTTATATGGTTCTTTAAGGGTTCTTTAGTAGAGAAAATGGTTGTATATAGAACCACGAACACTCAGAGAACCCTTTGCAAGATTAACAGGTTCTCTGCATGGTGAAAGTGTTCTTCAGATCGATGGAGAATGTGTTGTATATGGTTCTATATGGGACCTTTTGAAAAAAATGGCTCTATATAGCACCAAAAAGGGTTCTTCTATTGTTACAATATCAAGCTTGTTACCATAGAAGAACCCATCTTGTTGCTATATATAGAACGCTTTTCAAAAAGGTTCTACATAGAACTGTTTATAGCTTTCTACATCAATCTGAAGAACGCTTTCAGGATGCAAAGAACCTGTAAATCTTGCAAAGGGTTCTTTGAGTGTTTGTGGTTCTATATACAACCTCAACAATAGCAGAACCCTTTATGGTGATATATAGAACCATCTAGGCAGGCTCCTGCTACCATGTCTGGCATGATGGGGAGAACGTGGAGATCCAGAGAAGCTTCTCCAACACCACTGGCATCTACCTGGACCAGCCACACATTAATGGAAAAAGGGTTGTATATGGTTCTATATAGAACCTTTTTGAAAAGGGCTCTATAAAGCACCAAAAAGGGTTCTTCTACTGTAACAAGCTTGACATCGTAACAATAGCAGAACCCTTTTTGGTGCATAGAACCATCTACAGCACATTCTCCATCAATCTGAAGAACGTTTAACCATACAAAGAGTGTTCATGGTTCTACATAGAACCATTTTCTCTACTAAAGAACCCTTGAAGAACCATCTTTTTAAGACTGCAATATCTGGACATCGCTCAGTGCAGAGTGCAGCTGAAGGTGGATCAGATACATGAACCTGGCCACAGCTCTTGGGGAACAAGGGCGGTATAAAAAGGCCAGAGGAAGCAGATCAAGACTGTTGTATTTATGAGGCGGAATGATATTTGAAGCTTAGCTTAGAAACCTTTTTAATCTTTGTAGGATTCATGTTTTTCCCTATAGTACGGGAGATGCGCGTGATAGAGGAGTTACGATGAGAAACCTTATAAAAGTGCTTCATTAACTTCAGTAGCAGCTGAGGTGCCCCAGGATCCTGCATACTGAGAAGAGTTATTGTGTTCAAATATTTTACTTCTGTAAAGTATTTCTGTTGATATTTGTGAGTTGTTATTGCATTTTTTGGGGGGGGCCTAAATCATTTTATATGCCATGTGTTGTTGTATGTGATATTTGAGTAGTGACCATAAAACTTTATGATTATAATAAAGTGGTTAATCTATGTCTATGTTGTGTCGTGTACCACCCTGTTTTTTGCTCACGGTCCAATCATAGGCTTTGCCTTTACGTAAGTTTCGATGTCTGAAACTCAACTCTGCCACAACTCTACCCCACACTTAACCCCTTTTTTCAGATGAATATAAGGGGGTGAAAACTTCAGCTCCTCAAGCTCTTAACCTAAACAACTTACACGAGTTCATGCGAATATTGGTTACTGAATGGACTAACGAAACAATGAATCTGCAGCTTAAAGGGAAATTCCACAGACTTTTAATTGTTCTTTTCCTATTTCTGTGTAAATAAGGTGTAAACAAAGTCATTCAGAGTGGTTTGATGCAAAATACTTAATTCTAGAGAAACTTTCTGAGTCGGAATTGTTCACAGTGGTGGTGATAGGAACCAGACATCCGCCTCTGAAAGCTCCCTCACAGGAAGCCATCACGCGAAACAGTTACCAATACGCCGCCTGATGCCTGAGACATTGAGTGTGTTTACATGTAAACAGTAATCCATTATGCAAATGGTCGTGTAAACAGCACACTCCGATTTCTTAGATCGGAGTACGGTCTAGAAATCCGATTAAGAAATCTGATAAAGAGAGCTGGGTTTTAGCTCAGTATTCAGATTTCTCAGTGAATCTAAACTCTCACTCTGATTTCTTTCATATTCCTCAGTCTGAGCGTGTGCGAAAACAGACGGTGGGACCGGAAATAAGTGAGCAGTGTTACCGCGAGACGCAGCGAAACGCAGCAAAAAGCGACGCTGAAGCCAAAAACACGCTTGATGAAATGGATTTAATTATTCTTCATCTTCTAAATGATGTGTGTTCATATTTTCAGGTAAAGTGGAGCGAAGTTTGAGTTTTACGTTACGTTTACGTCACGTCTTCTTCTGTGAGTTTATTGGCTGGTTGTAAAGCAGAAATCTGATCTGTCTGACTCACGTAGACCCAGAGTTTCCCCATTATCTGATTACTCAAGTACATGTAAACATGTTGATCGGGTTACTGACAAAGTCTGATTTTCTGCAGTTATCGGATTATTAGGTGTATGTAAACACACACACTCACTGTTTTATGATGGCTTTTGAAACTCAAAAATTCAGTTCAAGGTGGAGAGGTGCATGCAGGGGGTGAAAAAGCAAAACAGTACCAGAAGAAAATTTTTATAGATTCAGCACTGTTTACCACTGGTCACCACTGGTCAGGTTGGATAGCAAATAAAACGGCTACACCTGTGCTGCTGACATTACAACCCCTGGTTCTTATCACCACCACTGGAAAGAAAATCTGACTCAGCAGCTGTTAACTAGTGTTAGCCCACTCATCACCGTCCTCTACAGCCCAAGTGCAGCCTTTTGATTTCACATGATTAATACTACATTGTTCTCAGAACTGGGGACTTAAATCAGTGCACACTCTGTCTTCCTTATTACAGCTGACTTTGTTTATGTGGTGATTATCAAGCACTTAAGGAGTTGAGTGAAGCATGTTAAAGCAGAAATTTCAGTGCAGGAGGTCCCCAGCACTGGAATACTGGCTTGAGATTAAAATGGGTGGAATTCCATAAATAGATTTAATGATCTGTAGTGCAAAGACAAATTTGACTACAACTGTTACACAGCTTTAGCTAAGTTGATTGTAAAGCTGTAGAGCTGCATGAAGGCCCAGTTTGTTCTAAGGCAAAATAGTATCCTAAGAGAAGTTGTGAGGACTTGTAGGTTCACTGGTGGTTTTGGATAGTAAATAAAATGACTATATTTGTATTGTAGTCATGGCGACCCCTGGTTCCTATCACCACCTCTGTAAATCAGTCCATTTCATGTCAAACCATTCTGAATGACACTTGATGTCTCAAGGACTTAACTATTGAGAAATTTTGAACATTTGGCAGAATTCCCCTTTAAGAGGCCAGTAAATAAAATGGCTATGTGTGTGTTGTGGACATTGTGGCTCCTGGTTCCTCTCACTACCACTGTAAAGAAATAAGAATCACATCAAACCACTCTGAATGGTGTTTACAGATCAATATCAACAACTGAATTTATGCAGAATTTTTGAACACTGGTGGAATTTCCCTTTAAAAAGCTATGAGCTGAATTAGAGGTAGAACAGAACCAACCTGCACTACAGGACCAAGAATGGTAAACAAATTTCTTAATGCTGTTAATTCTTTAAGCACTAATTCTGATTTCTGGGGAAAAAAAGCAGCAGTCGTTCAACAACAAACAGCTGGTTTATTCAAAACGGTTTTGCTTGAACACTTAACAGATCTGAAATGTTGAAGATTGACAAAGTTACCATCGTACGTTTCTGCGCCACTGCTCGAGCGTCTCCGGCCCGCATATCGGTTAGAACACAGGAGCGCACTACACCGTCCGTCTGTGGGTGGAACACCCCAACATTCATGTTCTCTAAGCTGAAGCGCTCAGCCCTGGGGAGGGGGTTCACACTGGAAAGCACTGATTCACAATTTGAGATTTTAATGTCAGTATTAGACTGTTTACTCGTCAGGGTGTGTGTGTGTGTGTGTGTGTGTGCGCACAAGCAAGTGGTTTCCTTAAAGGAATATTCCAGTGTTTTTTACATGTTGTCTATCTGCTGCATCTGTAGCGTGTGGACGACTAACATGGACAACAGTTACAACACATCATTGATTCTCATTAGAAATTAAGGGAAAACCTTATTTCCTGGTTTGCTCCAGGGTCCGAAGCCAACAGCTCTGGTCAATCTGTTTGACCCTAACACTTGTACGGTTTGGAGTGTTTTGATTTCGCATTACACAGTTATGCACAGTTGTATGCTCTGTTGATTTTCTGAGTGAAAATAAGTTAACACATTAACATGAACACACTTCTGCACATTTTACTGCACTATTACTGTTTATTTGCTCAATTTAATGTGCAAATTTATTACTTTGCTGAATTGTTTTATCCATATATGAGGGAAAAAAAAGGAAAAGCAAAATGTGGTCTGTGTAAAAGTTATGGCACACTTCACATTTTAGGCTATATCTTTTATGTTAACTCCGCAAATAAATACAAATTGTGCACTTAAATGTACAGAAAAATGCCATAGTTAGGTTTGTGTCCACTTATTTTTACTGAGTAAATCAACAAAATGTGTCATTTGGTGAAGGGTGCTTTAAGAGTAACTCCACCCCTGGCTCAACTTTGAAAAATGCTCAGAAATGGGAGGGGCACATTGGGAGGGGCTCTGCAGTGATGTTCAGGTTTGGAGGTGGGGCTGCGAGGGAATCCGGGTGGGCTGGGCTGCTGTGTTTTTAGAGCCAGCGTACGTTAGTGACCAGAAAATATGGTGAGTCACAGAATCGAATGGCGCTTTTGCAACTGAGAGTCTTATAAGGTTGCCGATTTTTCTCCACTACCGTCTCCATCTTCGACGAGGGAAGGTGTTTCTGATCAGACAGTGTGTCTTGAGCCTTAACAGTATGAGCCGCTGACTCAAACAGCCTAAGAGTTAACATAGCGACAGAAAATGATTAACAGCAAGTGGGAGAGGCGTCCGAATGGTAGAACATTCCCTAAAACCGCGACAGCTTCTATGTATCTGTTCAGCAGGTCCGTATTCAATATAACCCGAGTCCTGATATCTTAGATGCACAAATTCCGAATGAACAAAGTGGATTTCTTTGAACACTGAGTTTCATTCAGTCTGACATCAAGGTCGCAGACTGCATCACCGGTCAACCAGGGTTTGCTGGTTGCTTAGATGCTTATTCATTCTGCAAGCTGTTCATGGGACTAACCAGTGTTACATCCGATTCAGTTCCCTCTCAAATTCACGTTTCCCTTTATAAATCGGTTCTCGGGTGCGACTCACTGAGCAGAAATCAACGGCAAGCAACACTGGAACTACGGAAATCAGAGAGAGGCTGTTCAGATGAGAGGTTGACATAGTTGGTAACAATGGCCATTTAACATTAACCTTTCCTGAACCTTCTGTAGTTCCAGTGTTGCTGGCCGTTGATTTCTGTTCAGTGAGTGCAGCGCCTGAGGGTTCGAGTTGTGAAGGGAAACGTGAATCGGATGCAACACCAGCAGCTTTATGGAGACTCACAAGAATCCTCACTTAATCAGTCCCAACATCTTTATTTCAAACTAAGCTTAGATTAACTGGGTTATTTACAGTTGGTACAGACAGCTGGCATATCACAGCCTTGTGAGGTGGTGCTGGGGGTATTTAGCTCAGTGCGTGGGTGTGGTTATCTCCCTGCTCTAGACTCCTAAGCTCTCATATTTGAGTGCAGCACGAGTAGGGCGTCATCAGGCAGTAGGAAGACACGTCATCCGCGCCTATAACAGAGTTGAACCAGATGGGGCGCTGCAGAGGCGGAACTGACCACAATAAAAATGATCTTTTTACAGTTTGGAAATATGTGCTCACATTTTAACCAAGGCTGGTTTATTTTATTACTACAGCAGAGCATTTCAGCTGTTAATGGAAAAAAAAAGGTTTAAGGGAGGAGTTACTCTTTCAACATTTGCATATGAACGTATTTCAAACATCTATTCACGGAACTACCCAGTGATTTCTAATATGACTGAGCTTTGATAAGCTTTCAGTCCTTTTCTAGGCACAAAGTCATATTATAAAATCTATGAGTACCCACACCAAACAGATGCTGCACATAGAGATAAGGTTAAACACTGGAGCACTCCTTTAATCATTTATAGTATGTCTACCCATCATCAGCAACTTGTCCTTTATTAGAAATGTAGTGTACAGTTTTAATAGTGTTTACTAACATTCTCAAAATGCTCTTGCCCAAAAGAACAGGCTCACCGCAGGTCAGTGTCAGTCTGTCTCAGTTTGCGGTTAGCTTCATACAGTCTCAGCAGCCACACGTTCCCAGCTACATCGGCAGACTGGTGCTCAGTGACGAGACGGTGCGCTTTCGCTTGGTTAGTGTCGATTTATCACAGTATTTATGGCCCTCACACCAGCATAAGCCTGAAAGCGAAGCAACATGTTTGCTGTGCTAGAGTGCAACTCTGAAAAATGCCTTAAAATGTGTTCATAATTTCCACATAAATAAAAAACATCAACACAGTTTTGTCTCAAGATTTATGTACTTTTGGCAAGAACTGTGTTGATGTAATACGTTTTATTCATTAAGAACTGAACCAAGTGAATTCAATGCATTATTGCACATGTGACTGCACTGGCTTGAAGTCCTGAGGAACCTGTGCACTGCACGTTTTTGTGTTCTCCTGCTCCAACACACCTGGCACAGGTTTCACAACGCAAGATTTCTCAGTTAGCCAGACAGCTTAAGCCAAAAGTCAAGCTTATCCAATAGGAGAAGAGCTTAGGGCCACTGCTATTCACTTTGCTACTGAATTCTGGCTCAAACTGTCCAGCTTTACCACAAAATCCTCTCCATGTTCAGCTTGATAAGTACCTGACGAGCAGGATTTTTCAGTAAAGCTGGTCCAAAGTGAGGAATGTCCCGTATAAATGACCCTTAGCTCTTCACTCACTGGATTGGCATGACTTTTTGACTTAATTGATCAGGTTGGCTGCTTTGTGAAATAACACCAGGTACATCAGAGCAGGAAAACACAAACAATTGCACTATACAGGGTCTGCATGACTGGTCTTGAGAGCTACTGCGGTCACTTGTGCACTGAAAAAAGTGACGTACTGAATTTCCTCGATTCAAATGTGTACAAATGAATTAAATACATTACATCAGCACAAACAAAGACGGCTGTGTTGATGTGATATATTTCATTCATGTATCTGAAGCTGTGAACTGAGATGCCCACTTTACTGGCAGGAACAGGTTCCGAATTCAAGATATAGTTCAGTCAAAAACTGCTAAATGTTGCTAACAATGAATAAAAGTGAACAATAATACCTCTCAGCTTCCACTCACTGTCAGCCAGCCACGGCTACCATGATTGGTCGAGCACTCGTTTAAGTACGCGTCAAAAATTACTTGGCACTTCGGTTAGAATAACCCGTAACACTTTATTTGAAGGCTTCTTAAATAAAAGACATCATAACACATGTATAAGCATTTAATAAATCAATATTTGAGTCTTTATGAACAGCTTATGCCAGTACTCACAAGATCCCATAAGATGAAGTAAATGACACTGTATTGACAAATGTATAATTGTACTTTAACTCATGTAAAACTATGGAAATTCATAATAGTGTTATGAATAGAACAAATGTCCTTCACTTTAGTTTAAGGTCCCTTGGGTCAAAGCAATGTCATTTACTTCATAGGACATCTTATGTCATCCTGCGGTTTCTAGCATAAGCTGCTCATAAATACTCAAATACTGCTTCATTAACATGTTGTTCAGTGCTTATGCATGTGTTGTGTAGTCCCTATATAGGCAGCCTTTCAAATAAAGCGTTACCGAATAACCCAAGTCATCAATGAGCCTTCATTCATTGTACTTACGTAAAAGGAAACGGTAACAACGCCAAAATGTACTAGCTACCTCATTTCGCTGTGGCATATTTCTGTATTTTCTCTCATTTTTGTTCTTTAGTTTTAATAATACTATATTTTTCTCCCTCCACTTTGTACATTTGGTTAGAAAAAGTATTTTGGAGTGCTGCACACTACTGCTGAGCAGCACAAGCATTCTAGGAAGTACAAAACAAAATTGCGTAAGAACAGTTACGAATTTTAACTTCGCTGCCACATATTTAAGGTGACGTGATGAAGAAATGCTGAAGTCCTTTATTAGGGCCCATATTCACCAAAACAACAAAAGGTACTGACCCAGGATCAGCTCCTCCGGGTGTATTCGGTGACGTTCAGAAGGCTGTACAAGGCAACAGCTGATCCTCAAACAGCACTGCTGCTCCGAGAAATATGGACCCAAAACTCTAAACACTCCACAAAGCGAGATTTCATGAGTCAGCCAGATAACTCAAGCCTAAAGTCATGCTTGTCCAATAAGAGAAGAGCTCAAGGACACTGATATTGTAAAATCTTGTAAAAGTTATCTGGCCAGCTGAGAAAGCCCGCCTTGTGAAACGACCACCACTAGACTGCTGGCGTGAGGACCATAAAATAAAACAATCTTCACTTCTCCTTCTGCCCTGCTACGCAGACAGGAATAAAAAGGTAAATGTTCTGCCACTTTTAACGTCGAATCCTCTCTGAGAGGCAAAAGGAGTTATAAAAAAAAGAAATAAACGGAGGTTTGGGTTCAGCGCCTTATTTACATCCACGTCAGTGTCGTTCGAAAACCCTTCGGCACCACTTTCACACGCAAACGCATCTCACATAACTTTCTTTCTCTCTCGCTCCACACACACACACGCGCGCGCACACATGCTGGGTCTCCCTCAGTGTTTGAGAGAGAAGTCTCCCGTGTTGAGTCGAGGTCGCGGCAGAGCTCCGAACATCTCTGTGCCGTCCGTGGCTGCAGGAGCCAGCAGGGCCTTCATACTAGCAGCTATGTGATCCAGATCTGCACAGCCAACCTAGAAAACATGCACAGCGATTTGTATCTTCAGGGTTGCAAATGCATATTTTAACTTTGTACCATAACATAACGATACTTTAAAATTTGTTCGTGATTATGATGTTTTAATCTGTCATTTGCAAACAAGTTAGATCGGGCAAAATGCACCAACAAAGAAGCAGAGCTACATTTAAAAAACAAGACGCACAACGAAAGCTCAGTGATGAATATAATGCAGGTGAAATGTTAATTAATATTAAATAATAAAGCAATAAGCCACAAGAGGCTGTGTGTTACTGTGATTTTATCACAGGAAGGGTGTTTTTAGGCACGACATGAAGCAGAGTGCCAACATAAAATATGATAAAATAAATTATTTTCTGAAATATTGTGTACGTTATTATTAGCAATAATTGACATAAACAAGTTTTCCACCAAGAAATGTAGTTCCTTTAGGGTATGGTGTTGTTGCCAAGCAACCATGGATGCTGAATGAGGACAATGTTTGGTCGCCCATCGCTGTACATTGCTGTCATTTCAAGAATTTAAAACTTCTTGTCATATAACAATGAACATATGATAACACAGCGCTGTTTAATGATAAAACTTTCACTTTATAAGTACTTTATGGTCACTAAATTATCATCACGAGTCTTACTGAGCACCAATCCAGTGGCGCCCACTTCTTGTGCTGTGGCTGAATCTCAAATGGCTCCCTGCTCCCTACATAGTGCACTACGTAGGAGTTTAAATACTGGATCCTGCAGCCCAACAGAGCAAAACACAGCTAAGAAACAGTCATTTGGGACTCAGACACACCCACACTCGATACATGATGCACTGTTTGACTGTAGAGGCTAGAATTTCTAAACTTTCATAGCTAGAACACTATTTAGGAAGTGCAGAGCCGTTTGGGATTCAGCCTGGATTTGACGTGACTTCTGACAAACACATTTGAAGCGTGTGAGACATTCAAGTGACATTTTTAGACTTTTACACTGCAGGTTTACAGTTAATCAGACTGTAAGTGCTTTAATTCAAGCCTGTGATATTAATGATGGAGCTGTTTTGGGCTGTTGGCCCCTTTAGCCTGTTAGCTAGCTGACCAGCCTGGTTCTAGTTAAGAACATAAGTTGTCAGCCCCTCAGTTTAAACAAAAAAAACAGGTTCTTACTTCAGTAATATACTGTGTGGTCCATGCGAGCAGCATGAGAGTCAAAGATTATTCCATTAACAACACAAGAGTTTACCATGCCGTGGCGCAGTGATACACAATTCACCTGCTGTGAGGTGGGCTTTGAACGCAGCTCAGCCAATGAGATTTTAGGACCGGACGTATCCATTTTATAAGCTGCAATAATGTGAATATTTTTCTATGTTTATTCCAATCACTGCGTGATTAGATGATGATAATGATGATGATGATGATGATTAGTGTTTATAATTTTTGCTGCAGTTTTGTTTTAGTATCAAGCACCACTGTACTCCATTTTTCCTGGATGGACAATAAAAGCAGTGGAAATAACAAATGTCTCACTCTGCCCTCTGGTGGACGAATTCTGCAATTGCCATCTGATTTTTAAGCACGAGAAACCAAGAAGTTCCCGATCAGCCTCTGGTACAGATCAGGGCAGCTTAATGTCCATACAAATATAGACACCCTGACTTTGATACCTAAACGACACTTTCTTTAAACCCTTCTTTTAAACTGAAAACCGAAACTTGGTGTGGCTTAAACCACAAAAAACTGTGAGGAAGAGAAAATGAGTACGTTTAATGACCACAACAAATTGTGGACTAATCAAGAAGCGCTGAAGTTAATAATGCACACATGGAATGTAATTTCGAAAGCCAAACTGCAGTCTTAATTTTGGAACATGCATACTTATTAGCTCACAGATGCCGATAAGACTGACCGATACTGAACAACATTGAATACATACTCTGTGATATCAAAGTAACCTGGTAACATAAACGTATTGAATGTTGACCCCCAACCCTGAGGCTGACAGAGGTCAGAAGCTCAATAAAAATCAGTTATGTAACAAACCGCAGGGGCGAATAACTGACCCGTTCTCCGCTGTGCGGCTCTCCCTGTGGGGTGCGGCTGTTCCTGTAGCCCCACACAGGCACCGAGACTGGCAGGGAGCGAGCCAGGGCCATGGGGTGAGGAGGGCGAGACGACAGCACGGAGTGACCCATCGCCAGCCCCCGCGGAGGCGGAGGGGCTTCCTCACTCAGAGAGCCTGAAAAACAGACAAACAGAAATAGTCACCAAAACACACACACACAAAACAAGATACCCGGGTGAGAAAAAGCATCCTAGATATTTATTATGTTTTAAGAATATTATAAGATAATCCAGCATATTTCTAGACATTTTATTTGTTTAAAATGATTTTTATCTTCTGCCCTGACAGATAATTTTACCGGTTTCAAGACAATGCTTGAGGGAAGTGCAGTAAAAACATTTCACTTCAAAATCAATAAACTGTAAAAAATAGGCTACATACTCTTATAACGTTCTTACTATTTCTCGTTATGAGAAATATAATAATATTTAATATCACTGTTGTCCTAAGAAAGCCTTGTATCTCCAAAATGGTAATTTTACAGGAGAAGGAAAAAACATGCTTTGCTTTTAATGTCAGTCAGTGGAACCAAACTCGCCCACCCCAACATACATATCTCTGCTGTCGGAAGAAAACCTTGCATTTCCATTTTTGCTGTTTTTCAGTTTTTGACATAATTTGGAAATACCTGTTGCTTTTTACATTGGGTGTAAATTTTATGATTAATGGCTCAAAAGAAACAGCCATAAATGACTTGGAATCAATTCTGGTTCCATTGACTTACATTAAAAGTAAAGTCTGTTTTTTCCTTCTCCTGTAAAGTTACCATTTTGGAGATACGAGGTTTTCTTCAGACAACAGCGACATGTTGAGTGATCATGCAAGTTCACTTGGTTTCTTTCAGCGGCAAAATGCATTTGTACGAGTCAATGTACTATCTGTAGTCATGACACACAGACCATGTAGGATGTTTTCTGGAATACGTCAGGACTTTTCAACTTAATCCCTAAAGATACTAAGAGCCAATTTTTTTTAGACTTACACTTATTAAATCAAAGGCATATATATTCTGGTCATGCTCTTCCATTCTGTCACAAATCCAAGAGGTCACAGGAAGGGCTTGTTACTTAGCTGTTAAGATGAATCAGGTGTTGGAAGCAGGGAAACATAAAGGGTAGGGGGCTTCTGCAGGACCAGGGTCTGAGACCACGGCTCTAGGTTGAGGTATTACAGGTAAAGCTGACCTCTAGTGGACAAATTCTGCAACTGCTGTCTGATTCTTTTTCAGTATTACTGCAAGAAACTAATCCTCATAAAAACATGGTTATGTAATCGACTGTATCTGCGTCTGGGTAATCCAGGACTGTTTACAACAAACGTCTCGCCCTACAGTCTACAGTTTGCAGGAGCTGATCCTTTATGTGCATCAGAAATCAGTCGACTTACAATCACTGACCTAAACATTTGGTAAATCCAGATTATGTGACACTGACTACTTGCATTTCTGCACATTTGGTTTTTTTAACAATATCAGCTGCTGGAATACTGTATCAAACAAATACTGTATTCTGTTGCTGCTGCTCTGGTTGCTACCTCAGTCACTGCTATGCTCATATGCGCTAGTCTATCTGCTAATATGTCATAGTATGTTACATCCTGCTTTGCACAATCAACATATTCTCAGTACCGTCTACTGCCTGCGCTCTGTTTTTGCAATTATTGTGAGTCTCTCGTATTTACTGCAGTGTATTGTCTGCACTGTGTATTTTGTATTGCGCTTCTGTTCCTGTGTTGCACCGCGGTCCTGGATATCTATGACGTTACTCTGAACCTTGTGACGTATCGTGTCTCTAGTGTAGCGGTCAGGGAAGTCAAGTCCCAACAGTGAGTTACAAATGACCCAAACAAATTTGGCAGACACACAATCTGAGACACAAAACTGAGAGACACACTGTTCCTACTAACTCACCATCAGTGCTCTCCTCTTCTCCATCAGACTCGAAGAAAGGCTCACAGTCACGAGACAGAGAATCCTCATCCATAGAGAACACACCTGAGAGAGAGAGAGAGAGAGAGAGAGAGAGAGAGAGAGAGAGAGAGAGAGAGAGAGAGAGAGAGAGAGAGAGAGAAACTAAGAATTAGTGATCCATGGACACATATGCTGCTTTTACACATTGAAATGAAAAAAAAAGCACTGTTCCTTATCAGTATTCAATCCACAGTAGAGTGCATGCATGCATATTATATATATATATATACATACACACACAAAAAATCGATTTTCTAAATATTTAATTTATAACGTAATGCTGACGGAACATAAAAGGCGGAACTTGGAAGTGGGTAAGTGCAGCGCCCGGACAGTCTGTGGCGGCACAAAACAAAAACACAACTGGATGAGTGAGAAATCCGACCGGCTCCCTCTGCATTAAAGCCAGGTTAGATCAGGAGTCACAACCCAAATGATAAGAAGAGCCATTTTGTCCTTTCAACAAAAATCAAACCAGCTTGGGAGCCGCATTTAATGTCCAGTATGTCTCAGTGTGTGCTGATGGTCTAGTATAGGCTAAACAATATAAACGAAAACGCAGACTGACTTCGCTCTGCTTTAAGCTTTAGCTATATCCGCTTTCCTCCCCTTTCAGTCAGGAATCTTTTCCTCAAAAATTAGTTTCTTGTAAAATGTCTCTCAACATTCGACTGTTTTCCGAGGCTGAAGTCGCTTCTCCTTCGCCAGCTTCTTGTTTGAATTTTCCTGTTCCACCTTAAATTCTGACTGAGGCGCTAAATGTAGATGCGGCACCATTTAAGGTGTAACGGGAAAATTCGTGAGAGAAGCGACTTCATCTTCGCAACTTTTTAGTGTTTGACAGTCTCTCGTTGCAGATTTAACATACCAGGAAACCAACTGCGCTGCTTATAAACGCGAATAAGTCCATTCATCTCCGAACGTTCATCTTAAATCTCTCTCTTTGCCTTTTCATGTCTGATTTTCATTCATTGATTTTCAGTAATTTTTTACTTATTATTACTTTTGTCAGTTTCAAGTTATTTCAGTGACCATTGTGGGTTTTTTCTTTCTTTAACAGAAGGGTACCAATAATTTTGTTCACGTGTGTGACAGACAGAGAGAGAGAGAGAGAGAGAGAGAGAGAGAGAGAGAGAGAGAGAGAGAGATACGTGTGTGTGTGTGTGGCTTTCAAATGAACTTGACGTCTGCGCTGCGCTGTCTGAATTTTCAGTTGGTGCTCCATTGAAAACAATGGCATATGTGATTTGCAGAAAAAAATGCAAGATGCAATTTATTCAGCCAAGTTTTTCCCAACAAAACCACTCACACCAAACACAACACATTTTTTGCAAAATTGTTTGTGCCGCAAAAATTATACAGGCAGAAGATCTTTCAAAAGGTGGTTGGTTTTTCACAAAACGGGCAAACCGTGACGCTGTACTGGACAGAAAAGTGAAAAAAGAACAGAGTTTCTCCACCTCATTTCAGGAGCTAAAACTTTATGATTTTTTTCGATCACAGCTGGGATCTCCATAACTCAGTCTGAGCTGATTTTGGAGATGCAGCTCTGCAGGAGACGAAGAACAAAGCAAACAGACAGCATGTTTAAGTGGAAATAAGATCTTCACTCCTCACAGAACAGACAGTTGGTGACCTTAGACTACTGTCCATTTGGAGAAGTGAAAGTAGTACGACAAGCTTCATGTCAGAGGCTGGCTGCCCAGTTTCAGCTTTTCCAATATAGGAGATTCCAATATTTTTGCCGTTTGTTGTTATTATGCCATGAATCGCGCTCATAAGGCCTTAATGCTGTAAATCTCTGACCTCACAGTGATTCTGATTCCGATTCTTTAAGACACGATTCAGTGCATCATGAGATCTTACATTTCCCAACATTCAATTTAACTTCCCTGGTACGACAAAAAACACAACAAAGTGTAAAAATGCTCACCTGTCGATTCGTTTAAATTGCGTCTCCGTCCATCCATGTCATCTTCCTCTCCTTCCTCATCATCCTCCTCCAGGTCTACGATGCCTGCCCTCTCTCTCGCCCTCTCCGCCTCCTCTAGAGCCATTCTGTCTCGCTCTCTCTCTCCGTTTCCATGCTGAACCACAGGCTGGCCGATCCCTGCAGCCTGGCTGTAGATTGACGGGTAATTCTGAGAGTAAAGCCTCGCGCTGGGGCTTATAGACCCTGAGTCGCCGATCAACGTCTGTAGAAAAGTAAATGATCTGGTCAAAGTAGTTGCTGAACCAAGACTAGGGCTGCCAAACAATGAAAAGATTTATGTTTCTTAGTGTTTCTATCAATATTTGTTATAACACAGTGTAGAAATACAGTTCAAACATTTGCTGAATCTGTAGAGTCGCCCTTTCCATTCCATCTTATCACGAGATCGTATGTGACTCACATCCGGAGTTATGAGCCTACGAAGAGGGGCTAAAATACACGTCATCTGCCCCTCACCGTGTGGAACTCAGCTCTTATACTTAAGTAATGCATTGATATGGGAATTATGGGCTGAGCCTATTTTTTCATGTACATATCTAAAATGTAGAAATAATAACTAAATTTACCTGGATGAGCATCAGAGAAATGTAACATTCATTTCTATATAGTTACAAAAACAGTAAAATTAATAAAATGCAGGTATTTTAGTGCAGCAATCCAGTGTCACCTAAACAATCTGCTAGTCAGCCATGCTCTTATGCCCATATTAGGAACTCGGGTCTGAGCTCCATTTCTCTATGGCCAGAATGAAAAATCGCCTCTATCGCCCCCTGTGTTAAATAAAAATGTTCAGAACCCGTTACGTTTTGTCCTGTGAACATTCTTCTCTCTAACACCACTGGATCCTCCGAATTACGAGGTCGTTAAAGAGTTGAAATAGGAATATTGCTACATGTGAGCTAAAGCTACTGCGCACTGAATTCACGTCATTGGACTGGCAGCCTCCTTAATCAGGCTTTGTCAGTGTACATTTCCATGTACAGACTGAGGGCAGATGAAAAGAAGTCAGAACAAAATCATCAGGTTTCCCTGCAGTTCTCTGTTCTTCACTGATTCCCACTGAAACACGATAGATCTTTCCTTTCAGCTTGATTTGAAAAGATCTACAAACGTACCTGAACTCAGGCTGATCCAGTACAGACTCAGCTTAATATCACTGCTCACCCCTGATAAACTGATTTAGGCTCTCAGGATATCCTAATTATTATTTTAATACTGGTAACATTTTTCTGAGGACATTTTCTCGGGACATTCGGCAGCTTTGTGTTCGACTTTTCCCGTTTCACCTTAAACGGTGCAGCAGTCACGTTCTAAACTGCTGCACCATTTAAGGTGGAACAAGATAATTTGAAACAGCAGCCGAGGAAAAAGAAGCCGACTTCAGCTTCATGGAGGGTTGAAAGTCATAATATGAGGAGGTTTCACTATTCACGCTTAACAGCTGAGTAACATTAACTTATTTTTGCTGTTTCACCGAACTAACAGGTCAGTATTTTGTCTCGTTTGCTAATGTTCGTGATAGCTAGTCACAGCTGCTGCACCATTTAAGGTGGAACGGGAACATTTAAACAAGAAGCTGTGAAAAAAAGAAGCTAAATTCAGCCTCGTAGTTTAACACGGGTAGTATTTCTGATAAGGAGTTTGAGCTGATCAAAATATCCTACCTAGAGGTTTTATTAGACCCGGAGTTCCTAATATGGGCATAATGAGGACTATGGAATGACACATAACTACAGTGGTCTATTAGTCGCCCTACATATGACTGACGTATTCACGGGACACTCACCGGCCTATCAGTGGGCACATCCACACCCAGTTTAGCCCCTCCCTCTCCAGAGCTGAGCCGGATGTGTCTTTGAGCCGTCAGCACCGTGGTGGAGTGGAGCACAGAAATGTCGTCCAAGTATCGCCGTGACGACTCAGCCAGCGCCCCCTGACCCCACACATGATAGGAGTAATCCCACTTTCTGCCTCCAGGGGGCAGAGCTCCGTCCCCCTCATGCTTCTTCACCGTGTCTCCCTCCACACCAGAGGGAAAGAACTTCTTACTGGCGGTCAGAATGGCCAGGTCACAGCCGGACTTCTGGCTGTAGGCCTCCGCTGCAGCAAGTAGCGCCAGCCAGCTTTCTTTGTGGTTGTCTGGAATCTCGAGGTCAGAGGATTTGGTGATGGAGGCCATGGCGAAAGCGAGGAAGGACCAGTTTTGCTGAAATGTGGGCTTGTGATTTCTTCTGAAATGGGGAGATGCTGGTAAGGATGGTTCTTAAGCTCAGAAGGCGATGCGGAGCAGCGTTTAGTGTAGTTTTCTGACGTAGCTTAACTGTTTAATTACTCACTCTGATCTCGGTGCTCCGTGTCACGAATTTTCTTTGGTAGATGAGCGCAGCGTACTTCAGTGTAAAATGCTGATGTGACGGTATACGAGGCACAAATGGGTGGCCGTGTCTGCGTGCAGGAGAGAACTAGGGGAGAGATGGGAGGACGACACTCGCTGATGTTGCCTAGAAACAGATACCAGATTAACAGGCCTTTCTTGTCTTTTCCTATCAGACACCGCTGACTGCAGCTGATATTGTCTTCTGCACTGTGTGCAGTAGATTTAATTTGCGTATTTATCAATAAAGTGCATCTATTTATTTGTCTAATCATTAGCAGAGTTGTCACAATTACTCCACTACACTCAATTACTCGAATAAAACTTACTGTCTTGATCAACCGGAAATCATCAGTCAGCAATTCTGCATGATGATAATGCATCTTTTAAATTCTCCCAGTTGGCCAGCATGAAAGGCTGTGCATGGTTTGTTAGTGTTTATTTAAAGGTTTATTTAAATTCTGCATAATTCAATTGTGGAGTAAACAGAGTGATTCAGAGTGGTTTGGTGTGAAATGGTTCAGATCTCTTTACAGTGGTGGTGATGGGAACCAGGGGACACCATTTTATTTACCATCCAAAACCACCAGTGAACCTACACGAGTCTTCTGAGCTTTTATATGGGATGTTGATGATGGAAAATAGTGGAAAATCTGGGAAAATATGTTTTCTTTGGGGACTATTTTGCCTCGCAACACCTTGCATGCAGCTCTTTGCTGTGAATGAGTTTTAAAATACATTTTAGCAAAAAACATTCGGAAAACAACTCTTGAGGCATGAGGCAGTGTATGCGTAACAATTTCATTTCAGTGTGGAAGCTTTTAGACGTATTCAACTCTTCAGACGTCTGGTTCCTATCACCCCCACTGTGAACAATTCTGACTCTGTTAGTTTCTCTAGAACGGAGCGTTTCACACCAAACCACTCTGAATGACTTTGTTTACATGTTAACCATTTAATTCTGCAGGTATTCAGAAACATTAGCAGACTTCCTCCTTTTCATTGTTGGGCCTTTTAAAAAAAAAATGCATGCATGCATCCAGAAAACAGGAGCTTTACCCTCATTCACTGGAGAGGAATTCAGGCCAAACTGAAAAGCACTATAGTGAAAAAACATGAAATGCAATGCTTACATGACATTATGTTTCCACAGCCACACACAGAATACGTGCGAAAAAGAAAAACAAACCCTCTATTACACTTTCATCACTTTATCTCTTTTCCGAAAAAGTTTTTGCATTTAATAAAATGAAATGCAGAATAGAATCCAACCCACCTTGAAATGTAATGAAGGCACAGCTGTTGCTTTCCACCATGCAGTACTTAAAACAACGTTAAATCAATGTAACGGATCCTTTACTTTTCATTTTGGCATGTTTTCCACATGTTATTGTTTAAATGCAATCGCATGTGTGCACTGGATTTCACTGTTTTGGCTGCATTACAATGAGTTTAAAGTAGAAAAAAAAGAGGTCAAGCAACATAAAGCACTGTAGAAAGGTTTTGCTTTTCCTTTTGGCATGTTACCTATGGAAATATCAATGTAACGTCATGTGTACATTGTATATCACTGTTTTATGCTGTTATGATGGCATTTCAAAGAAGAAAATCAGTTTAAAGTACAGTGGAAAGCACTCTAGCTGTGCCTTTATTGCATTTCAACATGCATTGTTTTCCGGAAAAGAGATTTTTAGCACGTTTTCTGCACGTCACCATGGAAGAGTAATGTCAGGTGTGCATTGCATTTCACGTTTTTCCACTATAGTGACTGCTTTTCAATTTGGCACCAATTCCTCTTCATACATTCTCTGTGCAGAAGGTTAATCAGTGAGCACGGACGGCGCAAATTCTATAAGGATATTTAGGGTTTTTAACTACTTTGTCAAAAACTGCACTACTGCTACGTTCACATCACAAGCCTCACTGCTCAAATCTGATTTTTTGCTCAGATCCGATCTCTCTGACAGGATGGTTCACACTCGTTTAGGTAAGTGATTCAAATCTGTCATTAATGTGACGAACCGGCGCCTTGAAATGACCCTCATGAGCTCATCCTACTCAGTAACGTCACGTGATTGAATCGCGTGCATCATCAGCACAAACTAACGAGCAGAACGAGCTTCACTGTGAAGATCATTAACTCTGATCAGCTCTCAGCTTCATTATTAGAGCGAGACGAAGGAGAAAAAGGTGAGATGAGCTGCTTTTTCACCGTTTACAGGCTTCATCTTCTGTTAAAGCTGCCATGGTAACGCTGAATGATGGTCACGCGCAGTGGAAAAAAAACACATGAATTCTGATCTGAGCGTCACATTAAGGTTGCATGGCCACAAATTAGACACGTATCCGATGTAGGACCACATATGAAAGTGTCTCAGGTCGGATTTGAAAAGATCAGATCTGCGTGTCCACACAGCTCTGAAAACATCAGATCTGAGTCGCATTTGGGCAAAAAATTGGATTTGTGCCACTTCAGCCTGGTAATGTGAACGTAGCCCAAGTTAAAAAAGATGGTTCTTCAAAAGTTCTTTAGTAAAGACAAATGGTTCTGTGCAGAACCATGAACACTCAAAGAACCGCATACTTAAAGGGATGGTAAAATGGTTCTTCAGATAGACGGACAATGTGCTGTATACGGTTCTATAGGGAACCTTTCTGAAAAGGCTCTTCTGTAGTTATAAGTGTTACCCTGTAAACAATGGCAGAACCCATTTTGGTGCTACATAGAACCATTTCATTTTCTATATAGAACTTTATACAACACATTTTTAAGGGCTCAATATAGCAAAAAAGGGTTCTTCTACTGTATCATGCTTGACATCATAACAACAGCGAAACCCTTTGGATGGTTCTTGGAGAGATCATGGTTCTGTATACACAACCATTTGTTAAAGAAACCCCTGAAGAACCATCTTTGGTACAGAGAGCGGGGTACAGTCTCTGCTTCTTCGGTCTAAAAGACGAGGACGAAGTTTGCGTCCAATTCAGCAGCTTCGTGTTCAAATTTCCACGCTCCACCTTAAACGGTGCAGCAGTTACCAGAGCTGCACCATTTAAGGTGGAACGGGAAAATTCGAACAAGAAGCTGGTGAAGAAGAAGCTGACTTCAGCGTCGGTGCCAAAAGGCCCTGCAGACCCTGACACCGCCACTGTCCAGCAGCGCGGCGACACTCACAAACCTGCAGCTCAGCTAACGTTCAGTCAACCAAATACGCTACAGCTAACTAAGCTAAGCTAACTGGGCTAGCCCGAGCTGCTCAAAACAACTTCACTTTCGGCAAACAAACACGCCGCGTTTCACACGAATGCACTTAATTTATCACATATTAACACAAAGAACGATCTACTTACACGCTCGGTATCCTCCCGCTTCTGCTAAAAGCGCATTTATGGCTTAAAACTTTCTCTTTTTATGTGTTTATTTCGCCCGTCTGCTCCCCTCTCTCTCTCCCCTAGCCTCCAACGGCGTGATGACGTGATGCGCACACTCTGCGTCACTGCAGCGTGTCTCATTTCACGATTATATACAGTGATGAAGGTGGGCTTCACTCTCAGAATTGTTCTACACTGAATAAGACCCTTAAAATTAATGGGGAAAATTATATGTTTCTTTTTTTTATTAAAGAAACTCATGACTGTGAGTTTTTTTTCCCTCAGATTAATTATCTCGAGATAATTTTCTCAGGATAATTATCTCATGATAGCTCAAGATAATATTCTCTGTATGATTTTCTGGACGGTTTCTTTTGTGTTGAAGTAATGCGAAATGCGCATTTTCCCTGTATGTCTCGAGACAGAGAAAATGATGTCGAGATAATTATTTTGAGATAATCATTCCAAGAAAATTGTTCCAAGATAATTATCTAGAGATAATTAATTTGAGAAGAAATAAAATCTCAGGTTATTTCGCAGGCAGGAACAGTATTTTTTAGCCATTATAGAAAAAGTCATATCACTTTTCCCCCATGTCTTTTTGGGAGAGCCGTACTTTAGGAACCCTCGCTTCATCTGGAATATTATACCTCTCCACATCTTATCTGGGTGGTCTGGAACAGCATTAATAAAATACTTGTTTAAATGACTGCATTTCATCAACGGGCCTTCTTAACATTGACAAGTCAAGTGGTTATTATTGTCATTCCTTAATATGACTTGTTTACATTGGAATGAAATGTCATTCTTCGGGCCACATGGTACACAGGACTACTTAGAGTGCAGATACACAACAGTGTGAGTGCCGAATATACAATAAATACACCAGACAATAAATGTTCAGAACAACAAATACACAAGACAATAAATAACGAAACAATGTATGTGTTTGGGCATCATTCGTATATATATATATATATATATATATGTGTATGTGTATATATATATACGCATGGTTTGGCATGTTAGTGATTAAGAAGCTAGTATAAACATCATATTTACTTCATATGGAAGAGTAAGGATGTCTTATACGTACATAAATCTCTCTTTTTAGAACACTGGTTCTATAACAGTGGTTTTCTTTTCACTTATGAGGAGTTTCTGCCTCTGTAATCTACCTGTAGCACCACTGAGGATTATGCGAAGGTATTTGGTGTAATATCCTCCAAAGTATGTACGCTGTTCAGGCAGCAGCTGAGGTCACATGATCAACAGTTACCTAGTCTTACACAGATAGACTCTCCTACATTTAACACTGTTTTTTTTCTTTTCAGCTTCATAACAACAATAGAGCTATAAGAACACATATATACACTGTCTGGGTCATGGTGGGTGCTGGAGCCTATCCCAGCCAACAATGGGCGGAAGGCTGAAAACACCCTGGACAGGCCGCCAGTCCATCACAGGGCAGACACATCGATCACACACATATACACACAGTAGCAATTTTAGCGTGTCCAACTGGGCTGGCTGCATGTCTTTGGACTGTGGGAGGAAGCCCCCAAAGGCATGGGGAGAACATACAAACTCCACTCAGAATGGACCCTGGTCGCCCACCTGGGGAATCAAACCCAGGCCCTTCTTGCTGTGAGGTGACAGGTATTCACTGGTAGAAGATCTGGCTGATGCCTAAACGATGCCTAATGACTAATAAAGTTAAAGGAGTGTCATATAAACTTATACATAAAATCTACCCAGCTAAAAATTACTTTATACAATTTAAACATAATATTGACACAGCCTGTTTGTTCCGTAGCAGCAACCCAGAGACAGTTATTCACTGAAAACAATTCCGGCAACACGTTAATGTCTTTATTGTTCATAATATTGATGAAAATATTGTTTACTGTGGAAACGTGTTATTTTGTCTTTTGGAAAATCACAGAGCTAAATGCATACAACCCTCTCAACATATAAATAAATGTTTAAAATAAATATATCTTATATGTAAATGACATTTTTAATTTTTTTGTCTCTCACACATTAACGTAAATAATTACTATTGGAAAAAAATTTTATTTGAATTGAAATTATGAAATTATTACATTTGAAATTAAACTCCAGCAGCACTGCTGTGTCTGATCCACTCGTACTAGCGCAACACACACTAACCCACCACCACCACAGTGTCACTGAGGGTCCATGGGGGTCCTGACCACTGAAGAACAGGGCAAAAGGGAGCTAACAAAGTATGCAGAGAAACAGATGGACTACAGTCTGTAACTGTAGAACTACAAAGTGCACCTATATAGTAAGTGGAGCTGATAAAATGGACAATGAGTGTAGAAATACGAACGTATTCCTAATAAAGTGCTCGGTGAGTGTATATAAACACATATGCATGTACGTATATATATATATATATAATTTGGAGGCATGATGGCTTAGTAGAAAAATGAAGAATCAATGAAAAATGCTGTTGATTTGAATGAACATTGTACATTCATTTGGTTGAGGGGGGCTAAATAATGTGTAGGATGACTAAAACTGGCCTAGAAACACCCCTGTACATAGCTACACAAAAATACTGATTTGCATACATACTTTAAGAGTTTTTATAGTGTTCTGAGGGCTGGATTAATTCAGTATAATGCTCCATCTCCTTTTCAAAAGCAACAAAAACAGGCATTTTGCCAAAAATTTGCACTTGTGAATATAAAACCTTTAGCTTTGGCATTCAGCTTCCCAAAAGACCAAATACTGCATATAATCAAAATAAATAATACTTTTCATCAATATTATGAATAATAAATGCATCACATATTGACCAAATCAGCGAATAACTGTCTCTGGGTAGTTGCTACAGAGTGCACAAGTCGTTTTAGTGCTATTTCTAAATTTTTAGCCTTTTTTCTGTTTACTGAGTTGAACGCTCGAGTAAACACGTTGTCACCGATCACGTGACGGAGCGTGTGATCAGTGGGCGGGGCCTCGGCGGGGCAGGCGGAAGGAGCGCTGCTGTTGTTTTGGTTACACAGTTTTAATATCCTGAAGGCGGAATGGAGACGGAGAAGCGCAAGGTGGGTGAAAAGGACAACATACATCAATTGTAGGACTCTGTGAGGTATTGACAAGGCATATAAGAACAGTTATGGACGCGTCTTTACCTGTTGTGTCGACTGTTTCTATTCGTCAGCCTCTTGTTCGAATTTTCCCGTTCCACCTTAAATGGTGCAGCATTTACGTTCTGGCTTCTCAGGCGCCTGAATGGAACTGCTGCACCATTTAAGGTGGAACGGGAAAATTCGAACAAGAAGCTGGCGAAACAGGGAAACCCACTTCACCCTCGTCATATAGACTGGTTTGGCTGTCAAAGTCAAAGTTTGGCGTCTAATACTGAGCCACTATTGGTCAGATTCAGGCCAGTTCTCAAAATCCAGGTCCATTTAGCTGAGTTTTAAGTTTTAAGGTCTAGGTCGGATGTTCTGGACTGACGTAGATTACTGGATGGACCTGTTTAGATGGAGCTTAATTCAGCTGCTGTTCTTATCTGGTAAAGAATCTGTTCACCAGCTCAGTAATTAGAGTTTTATATTAAGTATTGCTGTTGAATGAGGACTAATGTGGATCCTCATCCTCGTACTAAGGTGTTAAGTCACACTGGGCCTAAACTTCTTGCTCATTTACATGTTTTACATATCAGTTAATGCTGTGTAGGTTTGATAGACACTAACAAGGCTCTGTCACACTGAACCTCAGCTGTAGTACTTTCCCTTGGTGGTGTTGTAACCCACCCATGTGAGTGTGAGTCATAGGCTACATCACCTTGGACTGAATTTTGTGCCCAGTTTGAAGGTGAGATGTTCTGTGTTTTTAATCACAGCTGATCTTCGAGAAGGAAGGAGTTTACCTTCACACCAACGCAAAAAGGAGCAACCACGACACAACCATTCCCGGATTCATCCGGATTGTAGAGCGGGTAAGGGACAGCTACACTGTGTGGCCAAAAGATTACAGACACTAGGGCTGGGCCATTAATCGAATTTTATTTTCAATTATGATTTAGTCTTACGATTATCAAAACAAGATAATCGAAATTCTGTTTTGTGATGGTGCCCTTGTTTGGTCTTGTGTTGTAAATCCAGTGCACCCCTTTCCTTTACAGGGGCCCTCTTTCCCCAATAGCCCAACCTCTTCTAATTTATTTTGATATTTTGGTTTGTTTTTATTTATTATTTTTAGAAATGTTTAGTAGTTTTCTGTAGGTTGTAGAAGTGCAGAACCACTGAGTTGATCTAATTTATTTGTATTCAATACTTATCATTACTATATTATTTATTTAAATATAAACATTTTATATATTATATATCATTATTTTTATTTATTTATGTTTTTTAATATTTATTTGTTTTTCAGTTAAATTATATTTAAAGTTTAAGGAAATTCACTGTTAAAAATACAAGTTTTTTTTTTTAAAGTTCCATTTTTTTTTGAAAAATCCATGATGTTTTCCAAAGTCAATAAGTAATCATGTTAAATAATCGTGATCTCAATATTGCCCAAAATCATCATGATTATGGTTTTTGCCATAATCGAGCAGCCCTACCAGACACTACTTCTAATTAATGAATTCAGCTGCTTTAAGGAGCACCCATTGCTGACACACACACACACAGTTTGTGTAGTCTCCTTAGAAAAGCCTGAGATGAGACTAAGGTCACCACGTCGAGCATAAAACCCCCCAGCATTGGGCTGTAGAGCAAGGAAATGTGTTCTCTGGAGTGATGGAGCTCCATCCAGTACCTTTGGGATGAGTTGGAGTGATCCAGAACTGACCATCCAACATCAGCACCTGACCTCACTAATACTCAATCAAATCCTCACAGCAATGTTCAACATCCAGTGTAAAGCCTTCCCAGGAGAGTAGAGGCTGTTACTGCAGCAAAGAGGACAAACTCACTATTAATACCCTTCACTGAAACGCTGGATGAGCAAGTGTCTACAAACCTTTGGATTTCTAGTACATTTAGGCTGTTTCTATAGTGTATTTATAGCACATAATGTATTAAGACTAGTTATTTCATTTCAAGTAATAACAAAGAATAACGAATAAACATTCATACACTTTTTTTGTACAATATTAAGGTTTAGTAATGAATAATTTTTTAATTAGTACTGATGATGGAAGATCAAGTGATGTTCTTCCAGTGAAGACAGTAAGTCTTATATATTCGGATGAAAGTGTGCTTAAGTGCTGTTTAATTTCTAACAGGATGGTGAGCCAGCGTTGGAGTGGAGCCCAGTTCAGGATGATGGGAAAAACGCACCTGCCGTCTTCTACACCAAAAAGGTTTGAAATATTTTTCAATATTTTGAAATATAAGGTCTATTTTAGGGCTATAAAATGTGTTAATAATGCAGGATGTGTCCATAGGCCCAATCCCATTTCACCCCTTGCCCCTACCTCTTAAGCCCTGTCCCTCCATTTTGTGCGTTCACGTCTAGGGGTAGGGTGTCCCGTTGTTGTTGTTGAGATAGAGGGGTAGGGCAAAGTGTTGGGGCTACATGGCTCTCCAAACGGAGGGTTTTCAGAGACTCCAAACAGAGTGCAGTAAGAAAAAAAGAAAAACCGGCTGTGAGAATTTTCTCCATTAAAAAATCACAATAATCATTGTATTATTTTAGTTTGATGTTGTTTCAGTGTATTATAGTCGTTTTCTTCATAATAAGCATAATAATAAGTGATGTTCTTTTTATATTTCGTAGGGAAGATTTCAACCACTCAGTTCCAAGGGGACACTTGAGAGCAAGGGGTAGGGCCAAAATAAGACATGGGATTAGGCCAGAGAGGCCACAGTCATGGAGGATATGAACCATTGACTGTATATGTGATATATCTGATATATACACTCGTTGGTTGGAACGTGCAGACACTGTTCCTCTCGCTGGACCTCGGTGATGAAAATTGGAAACTGCGTTCAGTCTTTGATGGAAATTTTGTTATGAAATAACGTTAGTCAATTATTAAAGGTAATAAATACAGTCTTATGAAGCTTACTGTGTCCACTTAGATATAACAAAATCTTTCTTTAAGAACAAATTTAAGTGAAAAAGAGAATTGTGATTATTTACGATTAACGACACAAAAGCAATGTGATTAATCACAATTATTTTAATCATTTGTCAGATGAAGTTTGTATATTTCTTGTAGATTCCATTTAGCTGACTGACGCTAAGCATCAAACTTGGGAATGAAATGAAAATAAAAAGTATTCCATTTTATTCTCTTCCGTAACTGAGGACTAAATGTGCTCAGCAGTGCCAGCCATTATGGCCACTCAAGCAAAGCTGAGGAAAAACTACATCTCTCTCTTCTCTTTGCCTCTTCCTGTGTCGCTCTGTTGTGCTCCGAAAGGACGGAGAAGGAGGAGAGGAGGAAACCAAGTTTGACCCAGGATACGAGCCGGACTGGGCCGTAATCAGCACAGTGAAGCAAAGCAGAGAGAAAGAGCGTCCGCCCGTCAGAGAGACAGGTACACTACGTCAACGTCTTAGGGCGTTTTCACACTTGGCCTGAATACCTGAAACCACACCCGGGACAGGTTCCAGTCTTGATTTTGGGGAGGGGCTCAACACCACAGGGTTGTTTTATGTGTCACTTCCATTGTCTTAAAATGATAAAACATATTTGTATTTATTCAGGACGTTTAATTTTAAAGTGCCATGCCAACTAAGACATAAAGAAAGGAAAGACCCACTTCTTTTCCTTCCCTTTCCAGACTTATAATACTAGCAGCTGAGTACAAGCCAGATAGATGTATTATTTGCTTTATTGCAGCCTCACATCATTAGGGGAAAAAGATATTTCCAAAATAAAAAACAAAACTACCCACAAATGGACTTAAAACTGCACTAAGTCAAATTTTTGTTAAAATTAAAAGTAGTTACAGAGTCAGAATGAACGTTTAAAAGTCAGGGATATCAGGGCCGGAGTTTATCAGACCACATCGTACGTCTTTACGTATTAACGTCACACAAACAGGCTCAGTAAGAAGGTCCAGCTCGATGTTTGGGTCCCGAATGCAAAGTCAACATTATACTGATAAAGATATAATGAAAATAGTAGATAATTGACTCACCTCCTCAGAAGACGCCGTCTTCACCAAGTTTAGACTGAGTTCTCCGTGAATTCTCTTTCAAACATGCTTGCAGTCCTCAGATCCTCATCCGCTCGTGGAAAGGCTCAGTACAACCCACGATACAAAATGTTCTTCCGCACATTGCGTGCAATTACACATTTCTTCCAGAGAGGTCTCTAAATCCCCCAAATTTACATAGTGCAGCTCTAAGTAAGCTAAAATCAAGTCAAGTGGTCTTTATTTTCGTTTCTCAATATAACTGGTATACATTAGAATTCAGTGTCATTCTTTAAGGTGCAACACACAGCAGCAGCACATTGCACAGGACTACACAGAGTATAGATACACCGCAGTGTGAACCAAGTGCAGAATATATAATAAATACACATGACAACAAATATACAGAACATATAGGTGACAAATTAGACAGGACAACAAAACAGTTCACAGAAATGGGTATAATATATATATCTATATATCTATACATATTTGAACAGTTGAACATACATAAAATCTGTGGTCGGTCTTTCAGTAGTGACAATTCCTAATGTTCCACACTGGTTTTCAGACTTTGGGACATGTTTACTTAAAAACTTCACTCTTAAAGAAATTAAAGACATTTAAACACAACATTGAAAAAGGGAGAGTACTCTATAAATGATGGTTTTGTATACATTTAGCTTATTACTGTCTCAGTGTCTTGGGTTCAAAGAGATCATTACATGGCCCATATATGTATTTCCCATGCTTAGTGACACTTTCCACAGAACATCCAGCATGAAGCTGTGTTACACTTGATAGTTAATAGCATTTTGCAGCTACAAATGTAACAACAAAGGGACAAAATATGAGACAAGTAGACAAAAACAGTAGTTTAGTTTGGTTTAGTTTTGCACTGAACGCCGGTCCAGGTCTCCTTGACCAAGCAGTAGCGATGTTGATACCACATCATTCAAACCATTTCAGTCATCTGATCTGATGTGACGTTCTGCACATGACCACATACATCACCAACACGTTTTTTCAGGCAGCTCTAGGTCATGAGGGCTAGTAGTGTCAGGAATGTTTGTATTGCTTTACAATAAAACTACCCTTATAAAGGGTGTATGAGTGGTTTCAAATTAGTTTATTAATGGTTGTTAATTAGCTCATAAACACTTTCTTTATTTTCCATAAACTTTAGTAGAATGCAGACAGGCATCAGAAATTGCAGAAATAATTAATTAAATTTATTAAAGGTCAATACTGTGGATACACAGTGGAATCATATCAGTATTGGCAGATTATTGTTAAACTTTTTTTTTTTAGCAACATCGCTCTACATATGAGAACAGACCAGCTGCTGCTGTGATGTGTAGACCACAGGAAATCAGCCCCCTAAATAATATCACCACAGACCGTTTAAAGGCGTGTTTGTTTTCTATTTTAAACTAGAATAAATATTCCCACCAGCTAAGAGGCTCAGTCGGTGACACTTTGTATATCTGGTACCACTTTGCAATAAGACCACTATTATAACGGGTTTGTGAATGGTTTAAGATTAGTTTATTAATGGGCATTGTTCAACTCATAAACACTTTAGACATCATTAAGAAGCAGTTATATCTCATTTTGAAGGGTAGCACTGAGCTGTTGCTGTTGCATAGTGACCCAACATTCATCTACACCAGGGGCATTTAATTAAAATTCTACAAGGTCCAGTTAGAGAAAAGTTTCCTCAAGCAAAGGTCCGGAACATCATAATGTCTAACTTGCATCATGATTCAGTGCCATATACTGTTTACTGAAGTAGCCTGGTAGGTATATCAGCATCTTATACAGTCAACAACTGAATGTCAAATCAAATAAAGTACAATTCAGTCATATTTCAACAACATTTATTGTCAGTTTTCTGTTTTTGAGAACGCCATGTGAAATAATCTGGCCCACTTTCTTCTCTGGCTGCTGTTTCTCGCCTCGTCCCTCCCCTGTCTGTGCGTCACTCTCTCGACTCTCAGTGCTCATCGTAATGCTCAGATCTGATTGGCTGAGTAGCGTCACTGTGATTTACCACAACGCAAGCGATTGGTCTGTGAGTCTCCCAGGGCCGCTAAATTGGCACCGTAATGACTAGAAATGCAGATTAAAATAGGACCACCTGTCGAAATTAAATAATTCTCCATAGTTTGATCAGTTATAGGTCCAGGTCCCCATAGGACAGCGTGTGGGTCCGGACTCAGACTGCAGTCTGCCTGTTAGTGACCTCTGATCTACACTGTTAAAGCTCAGATCTTACTTTGTCTAATTTCCGCGAACAGGAGGTCAGATGATCATTTAGCTTACATTAACATGTAAAAATACTCAATTCACGTTGTAAGACCTTAACAGTGTTGTTTATTTTTTTATCATTTCAAGGTTTTCTGGTCATTTTTATAGTAGATAAAATGGCTGTGTTGTTTTTGGGTCTGTAAACTACATTTCACATCAAACTATCCTTTGTTTACATCTCAACCACTGAATTATACAGATATTTTGAAAAAAAAAAATTGGTTGAATTCTCCTTAAAGCTATCAGGGCTGCCTGCATATGATTGGAATGGACACCACCTAATCACTCTATTAAACAGACACCAAGTAACCATTCTAAACGAAGTGGTTTCTAAGTGTCTTGTACGCTGACTGAGCCACAAAACACAGGAACTTCAAACTTCCTCCTAAGCTGTCCTCTGTATGTCACCCTGACATGTTTGTGTTTAGATCTGCTGTACTGCACACAGCAGTCATTATTACTGGGCAGGTGCAGATCGCTTCTCAGACTAAGCTGTCCAGTGGTCTTGAGCCCTGGCCCTGGAGACCTACCTTCTTGCGGAGTCTACTAGTTCCAAACACCACACCTGATCCAGCTAATTAACTTCTGCAGAAGTCCCTGATTGGCTGGAACAGTGTTAGTTAAGCAGGGGCAGCATGTTAGACGCAGGTTGGAACTAAACTATGCAGGAAAGTAGATCTCCAGAAGGAGGGGTGGTGACCACTGGCTTAATAAATACTCTAGAGAATATTTGTTTTTAAGTGTTTGCTTGTTTGTTTATTTGTTTTTTCTGAGTGATGCAACTGGTTCTAATAAAGGGGTCCTATTGCTGGGAAACAGAAGGGATCAGGGAGTTCAGATCCTGCCAGCTCATGTGCATGAATTTAATTAGTCAATGGCCACTTCTTATTTACCCCGTTATATAAAAAAACATGACTGCAAAACAATAATTTTAAAAAGTAGAAGGATTGATGCTGATTGCTGGGTGCTGGCATCACTACTGCTGAGTGCTGATTGGTTAACATTACTGCTACTGAGTGCTGATTGGTTAGCATTACTGCTACTGAGTGCTGATTAGTTAACATTACTGCTACTGAGTGCTGATTGGTTAGCATTACTGCTACTGAGTGCTGATTGGTTAGCATTACTGCTACTGAGCGCTGATTGGTTAGCATTACTGCTACTGAGTGCTGGTTGGTTAACATTACTGCTACTGAGTGCTGATTGGTTAACATTACTGCTACTGAGTGCTGATTGGCTGGCATTACTGCTACTGAGTGCTGATTAGTTAGCATTACTGCTACTGAGTGCTGATTGGTTAGCATTACTGCTACTGAGTGCTGATTAGTTAACATTACTGCTACTGAGTGCTGATTGGTTAGCATTACTGCTACTGAGTGCTGATTAGTTAACATTACTGCTACTGAGTGCTGATTGGTTAGCATTACTGCTACTGAGTGCTGATTGGTTGGTGAGAAGAGCAGCTCATTAGCTGTTCGTGCTCACAGACATCATGAATGTACATGAGGCGCTGTTTTAAGCTCCTATAACTCGAGTTTAAAAGCTCTAAAAAATATAAAAGCGGTGTTAAAATGTTTTATGCTGCTCTTTGTTCAGGAAATGATTGTATTCTTTTATATTAAAATATTTAAGCATTTATAAACTATGATTTTACTCAAATGCTCCATATTGACCCATTCATTTTGGACTAGCTCGGGGGCGCCCTCTAGTGTTAGAGAAACCCGAGTGGTAATTCTCCTCTCTACAAGTTCTCTGGTAGAATATGTATATGCACATGAATGTGAGTGATTCTGACATACTGCAGTACACTTCAGGAAGTGTAGGGGGCACCAAGAAAGGACAAAGTAAGAGCAAAAAAGACGTAATACTTTTTTGATTAGAGTAACAAAATAATAGCCCACAGGTTGATCAATCAATTATAGAAATTATAGAAAGCTGCTTATTTGTGTGTTGTAACCCTGCTGACGAGGCGTTTTTGTTCTCAGGTCACTGGGGCTCGTTCTCGCTCCCGCTGTCAGAGCTTTACTCGCTGCGTCGCGCCCGTTTCTCTCTGGGCAGGAACTTCATGGTGTTGACCAGTAGAGGGGGCGACCCCCTTCCTCCGCTGCACTTCCACCGGGGCGGCACCAGAGAGCTGCTCAGAGCCATGCAGAGATACATCAGACTCGCCCCGTCAGTAACTACTCACTCTGTCTGTGTAATTAGTTAATGTTAGTGATTATAAGTGAAGATAATAAAAAGAGATAATCTTTATCGCTGCTGTCGGAAGAAAACCTTGTATCTCCAAAGTGGTAACTTTACAGATGGAGAAAAAAACCTACTTTACTTTTAATGTAAGTCAATGGAACCGGACGTTTTTCCAAATCATTTTGGGCCCTTTCTTTTAGTCCATTCATCATGAAATTTACAGACAATGTAAAGGTCGACAGGCATTTTCAAATTATGTCAAAACCTGAAAAACAACAACAATGGAGATGCGAGGTTTTCTTCCGACAACAGCCATATATTTGTTCATTTCAGCTCAGTGAGCTTTATTTGTATTCAGTTGACGAGATGTGGACGAAGCAGTAGTAATAACATCAAAACTGACAGTACATTTGTAATTAATTTTCTACGTATATAATTTATTATAATTATTCATTATTCCTGATTACAAGCTGAGGGTAACAAATAAGAGGTAATCATTTAAGTAATTGAAGTACTGCAACATTTTCTCTCTCTCTCTCTCTCTCTGAAATTAGTTATTATTAGTGATTAGAGTTAAGATAATAAATTATAGCATCTATTGACAGTAATTTGTATTTTGTTTACGTAATCAATGCAATTAGTAAGTAATTCTAATATTACGTTGTTAAATAAGTGTTGAATAGCTATAGGATTACTACACTCATGTGCTCTCTGTTCAGTTCATTTCAGTGCTCTCTCCCTCTCTCCCTCACTCTCCATCTCCCTCCCTCTCCCTCCCTCCCTCTCTCTCTCTCTCTCTCGCTCTCTGTCTCTCCCTCTGTCTCTCTCTCAGGTCTCCAGTAGATGGACGCTTGTTTCTGGCCTATCCTCATGACTCCGGCGCCCTCTCTCAGTCGTTTGATGAGCTGCAGCTATTTGATGACGCCAGTTCAGACCTCGTCTCTGTAAGTTGGCGACCCCTGACCTGGTCCTGTTCTTAATGCATTAAACATGTGGCTTGTTTTGAGTCTAAAGCATTTTTTGGGTTCTTCATGTATAGAGATTTATCCAGGACCCCTACGCTACCACATTTGGGGGATTCTCTAAGGTGACAAATTTTTTCAGAGGGGCTCTGAGACCCCCAGAGTCACCTTTACACTCCCGCACACCGTCGGACCCCCACGCACCCCACCCAGCCGACGACGAGCCTGGCTTTGAGCTCATAACCTGTGTAAGAATATTTATAGTAATGTTATCTGCCTCGAGATTTGATCAGCATGTACCAAATACGAGGCATTGGGGTTGTTTATGTTATTAATTAAAAATTATCCATGATTAATGATAAATAATTAAGATGACTGGACTGATTCAATAAGTCAGTTAAGAAACAATGTTCTTGAATGTGCCAGCAGGGGGCAGAGTTGGGTCCCCGGCCAGCGGTGACCAGGGGCCAGCCTCTGGAGAACTGGGAGCAGTTTCTGGACCCGGAGGGGCGCGTCACAGATCCACAGAAAGTCAAAGAGCTGGTGTTCAGAGGGGTGGGTCAATATTTTCACCGTGACTACCTGTTATTAGGGCTTAATCAACATTTTTAACATTTAGTGGTGAAAGTTAATTAGAAGTCAGTAACATTGATTATGTAAAAAAGTCGACACCTTGTTTACTTAAAAACAGCAGCGCTCTATTAAGCTCTGTAATGTTCGTATGATCCACAAAGTCATTCTGACTTCACTGCAGGAAGTGTAAGGGGGTAATACAGCTTCTAGTACTGTATTTAAAGGACACATATATTGGACAACTACATCTCCTTGCTTTTCTGACAACAAAAGTTCGATGTAGTATGTAAACATTAAAATTTCAGAACATAACATTCACTCCTTAGTCCACTCATGGAATCCAAGCTGCCAAACCAGCCTGTTTTGAAGTTGCTGTGTTTCTGAAGTCATGAAAACCAACATGTTTACAAATTTCCACCTATTCAGCCAGCAGCAGTTTAGCCCCGCCCATTCAGACTGAAGTCATAAAGAGTGTTTCAGCCTAGTTCAGGGGTCGGCAACATCTGGCTCCGGAGTCGCATGGTCACCATAGCAACGCAGACAAAAATTTCGCCTAGCTAGTAGCTAACGAAAAGGCAAAGAGAAAGATTAAAGACGAACATCGATAATTTGGAGACAAATTGACTAATTTGCATTTATAATCACTCCAGCTGGTTGCCTAATATGTTTAATCTGCAACGAGAAACTGTCAAACACTAAAAAGTCGCAAAGCTGAAGTCAGCTTCTCGTTCGCCAGCTTCGAATTTTCAGTTCCACCTTAAATGGTGCAGCATCACAGTGCAATCTGGCATTACATTACATTACAGCCTTACATTCTGTAAAAATCAGAACAAGAAACTGGCGAATGAGAAGCGACTTCAGTCTCGTAAAAAGTCGAATGTTGAGAGACGTTTTAGAAGAAACTGTTGTACATTTGAGGAAAAGTTTCCTGCTGGAGATGCGAGAAAAACGGCTATAACTGAGCTAAAGCTTAAAGCAGAGCAAAATAAGTCTGTGTTTTTGTTTACATTTTAGCCTATACTAGTTCATCAGCACATACTGAGACATATTTACAGCCAAGATGGTAAAATGGACATAAATGTTGTGGCTCCCAAGGTGAATTGATTTTTGTTGAAAGGACAGAATGGCTCATCTTAACATTTGGGTTGCGACCCCTGGCCTAGACTGCTTTCTGAGCAAGGCACAGTATGGACCAGCCAATCAAAATAGAGCTTATTTACATATATCAGTCTTAAAGACAGAGTAACAAAAACAGCAATTAAAAAATGATCTTGTAAAAATAACTTGCATAAAAAACACAAATGTCATAAATGTTTACTAACTGACTATAATACACTACAGGATATGTAGAGAAAAGTTCTTGTCACAAAGACCTTATAATGATGCAAAGAGTGAGTTTTTTTTGTGTGTAATGGTTTGTGTTCGTCTTCTAGGGCATCATTCCTGCTCTGCGGAAGGAGGTGTGGAAATTCCTTCTGGGATTTTATCCCTGGAACAGCACAGCCAAAGAGAGGGAGAACATTATTAGAGTAAAAACGTGAGCGGATCTGCAGACACAGCATTACAAACATATAATGTGGTGCAAGTAAAGCTGTTAGACTGAGATCTGAACGCACTTAATGTTCGTATGTTCATCCCCGTCTTCTCTGTAGAGACGAGTACTTCAGGATGAAGGTTCAGTGGAAATCAGTCAGTGAAGAGCAGGAGATGAGAAACTCTCTCCTGAGAGGATACCGCAGCCTCATCGGTCAGTTCAGCTGCTGTTCAAGTTGCTGAAACAGTTTACCAGTAAATTCCAAGTCTCAGCCAGTCGATATTTTGGTTTGTTCCAGATCTTATAAACATTTAGTTTTTAAATAGATAGTTCAGTGAAAAATTTAGAGTCCCTCCCCCTTCCCTTACTCCAAATGTAGTTGATGAGCCAAGCAGGGTTGGGTGATATTATGGTAATAAGGTATAAAAATGATCTCAGTATTTAAAAAATTATGATAATATTTAAAAATGGTGACGCGTCAAATTTCTGTTCAATGTCTGAACGGCTAAATAAATACATTCTACCCCATTTCTGTTCTATAGTGGTCACTGATTGGTGGTGCTGATAGAAAGGGGATAAATCACAGGCTGGAAAAACCTAAGAAAATAAGCATGATAGCAGCTCATTGACAGCTAAAAGCTCAGCACAGCACAGAACACGTTAGACTTTGGCTTTCACTCTAACAGCAGTCAGATATCCTCTAAATGGGGTTAATTTTAGCTTCAGTTAGCTGGAACCAACCTGTGTAAGGCATGTTTGGGCTGCTAACGAAGCTATCGTTAGCTTAGCCAAAATGCTGCGGTCCCAAACACCACAGAACAGGTTCGATTGAAGCTTTCTGGCACTCCAACAGCACTCAAATATAATCACAGTAACGTCTGAGAGAGCAAAAGTGTCAGCACAGCAGCCGTTAGTCAGAATCAAACCTGGGCTGTGGTTTGTGGCACTGTTTGGGTAGCCTGTTTGCTAAGCTAACATTAAGTTACAAATCCAAACACCTGTCTCTTCAGAGCCGTTTGCTTGACTTCACTCCCACAGATTTGAATCATTGTCATCTAAACTTGTGTCGGTGCTTTAGTTAGTCAGCATCTTCTGTGTTGAGAGCAGTTGTCGTGCAATCTGAGCTAATGCTAACCAGCTCCTCTCTCAACGTTTAGCAGTTGTTAGATTGATGATTTGATTATTAAATGATGCCTTGAAAATTGCTTGGACAACTGTTTGGTAACCATTTAAGCAATCTACCCTCTCCCCTCACCATGGCATTGTCATATACTGTGGTGATGTTCGGATGATAATGTCCAACTCTAGAGCCAACACATATTTGGTGTCTAAAATTTGCTTCGTAAGGTTTCAGCACTGGAGCTATGAGGCTAATGTAGCCAACAAGTAGTGCAAACCAATATCCCACCAATTAGCATTGTGCAAACTGCATGCCTGAATCACCAGGGTGCGCTCTTATCTCTAAAAATGGACAAATATATGTTGCACAGGTAAAAGTGGTCGTATGCATCTTGAAGCCTGAATTTTGCCCATAATTTTGTCCATGTTTGTAGATATCAGGGTGTCATGTGGTGTAAGAACCCACATAATCGATTATTACTGATCAGCTCCACAGTGTTTGAGACAAGTCTGTGATTTAGGCATGAGGTTAGCACAATGCTAATTGATGTGCACATGTTTCTATTACTTGTTAGCTACATTAGCCTTGTTAGATCTTTTGCAAAACCAAAGAACCAAATTCAGACACCAGACGTGACCTGGCTAGTCAGCTACATTTGCGGTAAGAGGGAAAACAGTACATTTGAATTTTGGCCTTTAAATAGCTACTTTAGTTGGTTGCATATAGTAAAACAAATATGTGGACTGGTTGAGGTTCTTTGAGGTCTGTTCCTTTTCGGTTGCCCCCTATATTATATTTGATATATTTTATATCCCTGTGTTCTGATTGGACAGAGCGCGACGTGAATCGGACAGACAGACACAATCCCTTCTTCTCTGGAAATGAAAACCCGGGTCTGAAGCTACTCCACGACGTGCTAATGACCTACTGCATGTACAACTTTGACCTGGGTAGGCCTGTTTTTCATGCACTGCAGTTACACCTCTCAGCCACCGAGTGGCACTGTTTCAGCATTTATCTCTGTCTCTGTCTGTGTAGGTTATGTTCAGGGCATGAGTGACCTCCTGGCCCCGCTTCTCTTCGTCACCCAGAATGAAGTGGAGTCCTTCTGGTGTTTGACCGGCTTTATGGAGCTGGTGGTCAGTCAGACCTATTTTTGCTCATATTGAACTACATAAGTTTTGACAGCATAATGATGAACTGGATTGAATTGATAATTTAACACTGTGTTGCTGGTATATACCTACCATATAGGTGCATGTTGTAGGTTTGCAATTAATGCAGTTACATCTGTTGCTGCACAGTTTATCAGCTTATGTCCGACTCGTCGTCATTGGTCAGTTTCTGACCACAGGACCACCAGATATAATTTGGGTGGTGGCCCATTCTCATCGCCGAAGTGACACTGACATGGTAGTGTGTGTGTTTGCTGGTACAAGTGTATCAGACACAGCCGTGTTCCCGGAGTTTTTACACATTTCAGTGTCACGGCTAGGTTTTGAGTGGACCACCAATTAAAAAATATCCAGACAAAAGCAGCTCTGTGGTCAGAAACTGACCACTGATTAAAGACTAGAGGATGGTTAACAGAATCCATGCCACAACAGATCAGCTGTAGACACTAACTGAACACCAGCGAGGTGGATCTACCAATATTAATACACTTATTGTACTTATTTAAAGATTTTTTTTTTAATTATATGCAAATATAATATACTTTTCTGATGAAGTATCCAGTATGGTAGGTATACCTGAATGGCCATTGAGTGTATATACAAGGTAGGTAACTAAGCGTATGTGCATCACTGAAGTCTTTTAGTGAACTAGCACAGTTACGGGTTTCTCTTCTGCTCTGTCTGTTCAGCACCAGAACTTTGAGGAATCACAGGAGGCCATGAAGCAGCAGCTGCTCCAGCTTAGCCTCTTACTGAAGGCCCTTGATACAGAACTCTGTGACTATCTAGGTAAAACATACTCATGGTTACTCCACGTGAGCTACATTCACATCCTACGTTTATTTATTTATTTTTTGGGGACAGGTACTTTTAATTTTATTGCTGTGGAGCTAGAATTATCAAACCATTCAGTTATCATTCTTACTTATATCTCTAACTTCCCCATGTGCGTCCTAAATCCTTGTTTTCTTAATTTTTCTTGTGAGCACACAATATACATGCACAAAACATGTATTTTGTGAGCAAATGCCAAGTAAATGGCCAATGTATTTCACCTTAATTCTCCCTTTCCGATGTAAACTGGACAGTCCTGATCTTGGGTAGTGCTTAGGTAAGCAGTCCCCTCACCAATCTGAAGGCTGATTTGGTTTGTCCCGCCCTCACGGCATTAATAAAACTGTGTTGCCCTTCGGTCTCTCTGTGTTTCGAACGGAGAAACTTACAGAGTGAAAGCTAACCACCAAGCTAAAGCTAACCTAGCAAGTATAACAGAGTTACTAAAGAGTTATCAGGCTAGTGTATCTGTCTGCCCGGTATCTGTCTGTCCATTTGTTTTTGGTTTATGTTTGTTTTTGTTTTTTTTTTCCAAATTTTGTCATGTCTAAGTCCACCCACTTGCTAGACTTCCCCCAGTCACACGGTACTACCAGCACTAGGTAGGTAAAGGCTAGCACAGGGCTTCCTCTGAGTTGTGTCAAGCCAGCCACCGCCACTTTTTGAGCCACTGCTGGTGCAACCTCACTTTAATAAGTCCGATTCCTGCTCTGCTGCTGTTCGAACTGAATTGTACTGAATTTTACCCCGTATTTCCTGGTTGTGGTGGTGTAAACCTCTGGCTCCTGTGTTGTCTGTGTTGTAGATTCTCAGGACAGCGGCTCTCTGTGTTTCTGCTTCCGCTGGCTGCTCATCTGGTATAAGAGAGAGTTCTCCTTCGAGGACATCCTGAGCCTCTGGGAGGTAGGACACAACACACACACTGTGACCACACAGTAGTAGGAGTTTGTGGTGTGTTTGCAGAAGCAGCGCAGTGTTAGAGGTGTAAATCTCTGACCTCACAACAGTTCTTTTCTGATTCTGAATTTTTGGGAAAGTATTTAATGCTGGAGATCTTTCTAGAGACTCCCAGCAACCACACACAGACTCTTCATCCAGCCTGACCGGTGCTTGTTTGATAGGTGTCAAGGGGCTTTTAACAGAAATCTTTGGTGATCTTCTCAAAACAGTGCCCTTAAACTGTAGATGTCTCTGCTGCAGTACCTTTAATCTAATGCTTTAAAGCCCAGCTTAAAGCCAGCCTCTTTCCTCTATCTGTCTTTTTTGTTTGTTTGTTTTTTGTTTTTCTTTTTTTTGACAGGATGCTTTACTTTTGACAATTGTGTAGTTGTCACCACTGTAACAAGACCTTGGATATGAGAAAATTCCAGTGTAAACATCTATTATTAGTAGTAATAGTTGTAGTAGTAGTAGTAACACTGTGTAAATGGTTTGATATCCACTATTTATCTTTAATTTCACCACAGTATATTCTTCCATTTAAAATAGAACTGGTCTCCTTGTATCTTTGTAGGTTCTATGGACCCGCCTGCCATGTGCAAACTTCCACCTGCTGATGGCCTGCGCCATTCTGGAGTCTCAGAGGGGGGAGCTGATTGGATCAAACCATGATTTTAACACAATACTGAAGGTATGAAGGTGGTCTAAGGTGAAGAAATATAACAAACCTTAGTTCCCAAAAAATTCTGTTTGATATGTATTACATTGAAAACAGTACAAAGAACACAATATCTAATGTTAGAACTCTTTGAGGAACATTGGGCCTCATTCACCAATATCCTCATAAGTTTTTTCTCAAAACTGTTTTTGAGAAAGGTCCTAAGAAAAAGTCTACGTCTGGTTCATGACGTGTTCTTAAAGCGCAGAGCTGTTCTCACCTTTGTGCTCTTGAGTGTGTAGATTCTGTTCTTACCTAAGAACAAATCCCAGATAAGAAAACACTGGTGAATGTCAGAATCTTCGTGAAAACTGCGTAAGTGGATTTTAAGAAAAAATATCTTCTAAAGAACGGTTGGTGAATGAGGCCAAATGCTCTAAACTGATTATTTCCTGATCCTTTATTTGGCAAAGTAGAAAGTCTCGTCCCATCCTTGTTCATAAAAGGCTAGGTCTTCCCTGAATACTCCACTTATTACCAAGTAGAATTGCATCATCTGTTTAAGATGTTTTTGATCATTTCATGTTTCTAGTCTTAAAGGGGGGGATTTTATTTTTCAAAAGTTTTCTGTAATTAAATGGTTAAGATGTAAACAAAGTCCGAGTGGTTTGGTGTGAAATGCTACGTTCTAGAGAAACTTACCGACTCAGAATTGTTTGCGGTGATGGTGATAGGAACCAGACATCCAAAGTGTTAAAGTCTCTAAAAGCTAAATCACAGAAAATGATGCATGAAATGGTTATGAATACACAGCCTGATGTCTGGGACATTGATTATTTTGAGAAGCTTGGCCTGATTTTTAAAAAGTTGTTCAAGGTGGAGGGATACATGCAGAGCGTTGTAAGGCCAAAAAGTCCCCTAAGAAAACGTAGTTTTTCAAATTTACCTCTATAATGCTTGTACATCATGTGTGTGTGTGTGTGTGTGTGTGTGTGTGTGTGTTTTGCAGCACATTAATGAGCTGACCATGAAGCTGGATCTGCAGACGGTGCTGCGGGAAGCAGAGGGCATCTACCTGCAGCTCGCTCGGTGCAAGGTGAGAAAACACATACCTGACCTCCAGCAGCCCCAGCGTTTGTAGGCACCTGCCTTGAAGACCTTAGTTTAGTTGGAAAAAAAGTCAGGTAGATACAGAGTCAAGCATGAAACCTTTTCACCCACAGTGCAGTGAAAAAGTATTTGTCCCTTATTGATTTCATCTGTTCGTCACACTATATCCTATGTAATTTTACTGACTGATATGATTGTCAGTTCTCTTATGTTATCTATTATTTTTCATTAGTTTTCTTCAGCTCTTCAGTTTTTGTGTTAGAACCTGTTATTTTCATGTTGAAGGTGACATTTTCATACATGTGAAATGTTTTTTGTACTCACTGTAATGGTTTTTGGTGTTGAGATTCAGTTCAGTCTTTATTACTGTGATATAGTTAACTATATTTTTACTATATTTTATCCGAAATGATCAGCCAATTAATATATCAGTCAAACTCTGATTCATAGAAAAGCTCATTCCAGTGCTGAGGGGCAAGGACACAAGGTGTTATCGCTCTGGGGGTACAGTTGTGTAAGTTAGGGCACCCCTGGTCAAATAACAGGCTTTGTTGATTTTCTAAGTGAAAATATATTGGCACATCCTCTACAGAGAACACACTGAACACAATCCTGCAAATTTTAATACAAAATTACAGATTAGATGCTGATTTAAAAAATATTGGGGAAAAAATCAAAAGTTGTTTTATTTTTTCCGTTTTTATGTTTCACTCAGCAAATATATTGAAACTATGCTCTACAATGAGCAGAAAAATGCCTTAAAAATTTGCCTGTATATTATTTAACTGTTAAATGTTAATAAAACTTTTGTTTTTATATTGTCACGTTACTCACTTTAGGTTGAAACGTCAAATGATTTTGTGCACATGTATTCAGTATTCATTTGAATATTTACCCACCTCTCTTTCCCTTTTGGCCTTTTTACACATAAACAAACCATGATCTTTGAGATCACTGCAGCTTTTTAAGGCAAAATAAGACAAATGCATTAAAATTGGGCACTAAAATTGGCAGAAAAACTCTATATTTTACTGTGTTCTCTGTAGAGGATGTATTAACTTATTTTATATATATATATATATAAAAAGTAATTAATCACTATCGTCCTCTCCTCTCTGTCCCTGTCCAGGAGCTGCCGGTGAAGGTGCAGGAGGTTCTGGGACTGTATGTGGCGTCCAGCTCAGATGAGGGGAGTCCAGATTTAGAGCCCAAAGAGACGGACACACTGCTCAGCCAGACGGAGGTTAGAGGAGCGGCAGCCTGTCCACCGAGCAGCAGCCACACAGCATCACACCGCCCGCCCCCCACATACCCATAATTCCCTTAATGCTTAAAGGAATACTGTAACATTTTTCAGCCTGCTGCATCTGTATTGTAACATCATTTACAGCAATTGTTTTCAGTGTGTTTCTTTGAAAAGAACAGGAAAACTGTTGATTTGGAGCCAGTGTTCGCTTGATGCATTCCATGAATGACTGTGCAGTGCAGTTACAAAACTACAACTACTAAACTTAAAAATCGTGGTCACTCCTCCCTTTGTAGTTTCTTTGCCAAGGTGAAGTCAAATTTAGACAAAATTTAGACGAGTATGGACAGTCTAGATGTGACGTGTTGTTAGTGTTGTTATGTTGACTGAGGAGCTGCTTCTCCATTTAGTTTTTTTTTCCCCAAAGAAGATACCACAGCTCGCCGTGTCAATTACTATTGGCTCATGCTTCTCAGATCAGTGAAGTAGTGAGGTTAAAGTTCTCCCAGAGCAGGGGGAATGTTAAGAAGAGCAATTTTGCCATTTCAGCAAAAATCAGTCCACCTCGGGAGCCTCAACATTTTATATCCATTTTACCATCTTGGCTGTAAACAGTGCTGATGTACTAGTACAGGCATAAAAACATAATGAAAACAGACTTAATTCGCTCTGCTTTAAGCTTTAGCTCAGCTGTTGCCGCTTTTCTCACATCTCCGGCAGGAAACTTTTCCTAAAAAGTAGAACAGATTCTTGTAAAATGTCTCTCAACGATGGATTTTTTACGAGGCTGAAGTCGCTTCTCATTCGCCAGCTTCTCGTTCTAATTTTCCTGTTCCACCTTAAATGGTGCCTGAGGCACCAGTATGTAACTGCTGCACCGCAGGCACCACTTAAGGTGGAACGGTAGAATTTGAACAAGAAGCTGACGAATGAGAAGCGACTTCAGCCTCGCAACTTTTTAGTGTTTGACGGAAACCAGCTGGAGTGATTATAAATGCATTTCATTCGTCTCCAAATTATCGATGTTCGTCTTAAATCTCTCTCTTTTCGTTAGCTACTAGCTAGGTGCGACTGTTGTTGTTGCTATGGTGACCAGCAGTCTGCGCTGATCTTCAGGGTTAAAGGGTGAATCAGCAGTTCTACATTAACTCCAGAGTTTAAGACCATTTATTGTTAAACTGTGTTGAACGATCAGCAGAGCTTTATTTTACTGTAAAGGAGGATTATTTTATTTACACCTAACAAATCTGATTCTGCTGTGGAGCCGCAACAGGACAGTAAAAGAGCCGCATGCACCCCGGAGCTCCATGTTGCCGCCCGCTGGACTAGAATGACTGTGCAAAGCAAAATTAGCTGCAACTGAAAGCGAGTTGCTTTTTTGCATTGCTGCGTCTATTACCATTCAAGCGAACTGGCTTTTTCACCAGGTGGAAGTAAATAATACAGGTGTTGGAATGAGGCGGACTGTGATGAGCTGTGCTTATGAAGTTTTATTCAACTTTACTGCGCAGTGGCAACACTGTAAAGAATTCTGATTAATTCTGATTAATTGTACATATTTACAGATTAATATTTCATAATTCATATGTTTTACCCCAATATACATAAATGTTTTGTTTAAATCTCTACTGGCAGAATTCAGCAGCTGCCCACTGGCTTCTGTTGCCTGTGGAAGTGAAATGTACACTACCGATACAGATCAGGCCGAAAACCACTAAAGTGTTCCTTTAAACAGCTGCAGGACAAGCTAAGAGAATTTTAGAAATTGGCAAAGATATTATGCATATGAATTCAAAATGCTAATTTATATGGGATGTTGGTGGAAGGTTATGGACTCATTCCGAAGTGTCATGTAGCAGATGAAGCGGAAAGACACGACACGACTGCCGTGAGCGAGTGAATGCTGTACTTTATAAGACTGTATTTTCATAAGAAGGGCAGAGTAACTAAAACAGACTATTATTATAATTATTATTGTTATTATTATGATTATCAGTACTGTGAGTGAATGACGGGGCATTGAACAGAGTCTGAGAGAATGAGTTTTAAGAATGATTTTTGCCTTTTTGTGCTTTGGTTTTCATGCTTTTGTTTGTATTACAGCTGATAAGCAATGGTTTTACTCAGAAATGTTAACATTCGTGATGGTTAAAAGCCATTTGCGGCTACATGTTAGCATTATGCAAATGAGATCATGCTGACCAGCCATTACTAGCTTTCAATTGACCATTTTTAGACGAAGTGTTTCTCTTTAAAGGGAACTCCACCGATTTTTAAAACAATTTCTACATAATTCAGTGTGTGAGATGTAAACAGAGAGATTCAGAGTGGTTTGATGTGAAATGGTTCAGATTTCTTTACAGTGGTGGTGATAGGAACCAGGGGTCACTATGGCTACAACACAAATATAGACATTTTATTTACCATCCAGAACCACCAGTGAACCTCCACGTGTCTACTAAGGTTTATATGGAATGTTGATGATGATAAAATAGTGATAAATCTGGAAAAATAAGGAATTTTTCCCTATAACAGCCTGCATGTTCCCCTCCACCATGGATGGATTTTTAAAAATACATCTTTTAGGCCTCAATCTTTTCAAAACTATCATAAAACAGTGTCTCAGACATCAGGCAGTGAATTCATAACCATTTGATGTAATAACTTTCTGTGAGGGAGCTTTTAGAGGTGGACGTCTGGTTCCTATCACCACCACTGTGAACAGTTCTGACTCTGTAAGTCTCTCTAGAGCAGAGCGTTTCACACCAAACCACTCTGAATGACTCTGTTTACATCTTAACCATTTAACTGTGCTGAAACTTTGAAAAGTTGGTGGAATTGCCCTTTAATGTTTCTGCTTTCTGCTGTGTGGTTGATGTTAAAAAGCTTATAGTGTGGCTACATGTATTAATTTTATTCAGTGAACAGTCTGACACTATCATTATGTAGCATGTACATTTTACCCTTTCATCTCTCTCTCTCTCTCACGCTCCCTCTCTCTCTCTCTCTGTGTGTCTCTCTCTGTGTCTCTCACTCTCTCCATTTTAAGTTTGAAAAGGGGTAAATAAATGCAGGTTACACTTGCGACAGCTAGATAACAGTACTGTGCTATACAGGCCTTTTCTATGTATGCATGATGATGTATTCTAATAAATATACATATATTTTGTTTGTTTTGTTGTTAACCATGGCTATATGTGCATTTATTTGATTTATTCTATCTGAAATAAACGATATAGAGTAGCAGTTTGTCTTTTGATTTGCTGTAATGTAATAGTGTGTTTTTTTTCCCCCACCCAGTTCTCTCTTCTCTTTTTTTTCACGCTCTCTTTCTTTCACTCTCTCTCTCTCTCTCTCTCTCTCTCTCTCTGGGCCTCTTCAATCTGTTGATCGTTTACAGCCTCATAAATAATTAAGTGAGTTTCTGGCTGACTGCACGTCGCGCTGTCTGCCCTTTTCACCGCCGGGAGATCCTCCGTCAGATAAAGCCTCATTATTAGCCATTAGCCTGCGGATTACATTAAGCCTTACAATTAGCTTAAAGGGGAATTCCACCGATTTTCAAAATTGCAGCATAATTCAATTGTTAATATGTAAACAATATGTAAACAGAGTGGTTTGGTGTGAAATTATCTGTTCTAGAGAAACTTAGAGTCAGAATTGTTCACAGTGGTGGTGATCCACCTCTAAAAGCTCCCTCACAGAAAGTTACTACATGAAATAGTTATGAATTCACTGCCTGATGTCTGAGACACTGTTTTATTATAGTTAAAAGAAGGTTTTTGGTGTAAATCATGTATTCATGTAATTTATGGTGTGGAGGGATATACAAGGGCAAAATAGTCCCCAAGAAAATGTACTTCTTTCAGATTTTCCACTATTTTCCCATCATCAACACTCAATATAAATTTAGAAGACTCGTGTAGGTTCACTGGTGGTTCTGGATAGTAAATAAAATGGCTATATGTGTGTTGTAGTCATGGCGACCCCTGGTTCCCATCACCACCACTGTAAAGACATCTGAACCATTTCACACCAAACCACTCTGAATGACTCGGTTTACATCTCAACCTCCAAATTATACAGAAATATCAGAACAACAAGGAAACTTATGAACAAAAAGCTCTCACTTTGGCCCTGCACTGCAAAAAATGGTATTTTGTCAAGTGAAATGATCTTAAATCTAGTCAATATGTCTAATATTTCCCATTTTTGAGGTGGTTGTGCACTGATTAGAAGATTATCTAGCTAATTTCCAGACATCATTTACTTGTTTTAGGTGATTTTCTGAAGTATATTGATCTCACTATACTACTGGCAGATAACTTTGCTTTGCTTTAATGTTTAAAGCTCATTTCCTAAAACAAGCAAAAATATCCACCAACATAGTGAGATAAATGTACTTAATAAAATAACCTAAGACAAATAAAAAATGTCTAGAAATAAGTTAAATAATCTTAAAATAAGCTTACACAATCTCAGCAGGAGAAACATTAGATTTATTGACTACATTTTAGATCATTTTACTTGACAAGGCTCTATTTTTTGCAGTGTGCTTTACAAAATCACCGCTTAAATACTCTACAACGAAGACACTACAACGTCACACTACAACGAAGTCCTGTTTTTATGGTGTTTTTACAGAACTATAAGCACTCTGCTCTCATAGTGTATATACAGTCATATACAATCATATGTAAAAGGTCAGATTACATGTTTTGCTAAATTTCTAAGTGAAAATAGGTGAACACTTCCTCTACAGACTACACACTTCTGCACATTTTAATGCAGAATTACTGTTCATTTGCTGAATTTAACATGTTGAGAAAAACCAAAACATAAACTGTGGCCTGTGCAAAAGTTTTGGCACCTCTGATATGTTTTCCAATGTGTTAAACTTACAATAAATAGAAATATAAATAGAATAGGAAGTGAACAGAAATGGTGCCGTGAAATGCGCAGAAAAAGTCTTCTCTTTTGAAGATGTGTTGACTTACTTTCACTTAGAAAAGCGATAAAACATGTCAGTTGTCCAGCACGGCTGCACAAAGTGTTCCCCTCTGACCCCAAATGTAGTCGATCAGCCGAGTCATGTTTGGTGTCTGAAGTTTGCTCCTTTAGTTTTAGCACTGGAGCAACGAGGCTAATGTAGCTAACAAGTAATGGGAGCTTATATACACCAATTAGCATGGTGCACATGAACAAACACAGGCACCAGTTGCACTGCTGTGTTTCTCACGAAAGAATTATTTTTGAGTTTAAGCTTTTTAAATTTAAAGAAGCAAACATCAGACATGACATGCCTTGGCTGATCGAGTACCCTCGGGGTGAGGAGTGCTTCTTGCCAAACTATCGCTTTAAAACACTGTGTCTCTGTCTGTCGCACCATCTTCACAAACACAAACACAGCAGGTGTCAGGTTGGGGGTAAATGAGGGTCACTGTTCCCCACTATCCCACCAAATGAGGCGAGAAATGAGGGGCGGAGAGCCACGCCTCCCCCTCATACCCCCCTCCGCCACCACCAGTGGCACACTGCTCTTTCTACTGTCTCTCTCTCTCTGTTGTTTTGAATACAGCTGCCACACATGAATTAATTAGGGCCCTTAAACAGCACGGCGATCTGTCGCT